ATGACTGACTTGTTAAATCAAACACGCACGGATCATAAGATCTGATGTGTGTCATTAAAAGAGCAATATTCATTTCAAAGCCATCATTGCTTTAAGGACAGATTATTCAGACATTTGATTTAAACATCTTGTTCATTAATCACACATGATTATTTAACTTATAACTGTAAATTCATGTAGGAGCTCCAAGTAGGCTTGATTTTTATTTAAGGTGAGGAATCACTCACCAGTCTGACTTTTACGCAGAGAGTGCATGACCTTGGGAGACTGTTTTGCCTCCAGTGAGGAACAATAAGTGGGCAGAGGTTGATTTGTGTGTCTGGATCCTCCAGCCGGTGCAGCCTTGACTTTGCAGTTTCTGGTGTGTATGAAAGGTTATGCTGTTTCAAATAGATGGTGAAAACACAGAAATGGTTTCTTTTTTACCTTGCTGCTGACGGTTTCGTTCGCGGCTGTGAGCTTCCTCAGAGCTGACGCTGATGGTGGCGTCACTTCCTACTCCGTTTATCTGCAGGCAGCAGAGGACGTTGTCGCCCTCTGCTGCCAGCTCTCCCCTCTCCGACGATGCAGTCCCATGCGTGATCCAACGTGTAAACCCCATCGTCTCTGTTCATGGTCCCACATCCACGTCTCCTTATCTCGATAGCTTCTTTTATCCATCTTTTGTATTTCTGTTGTTCGGTGTTTATGATCCTTGTGTTGTCCCAGTCCATTATGTGGTTTTCTCTTGTGCAGTGATCTGTTACGGCTGACTTCTTTATTGTGCTTTCTGCTTCTTCTTTTGCTGCTCTTGTGTGTTTTCGACTTGTTTCTTTCTCGCACTCCTTTCTATGTTCTATTGTTCGTGTGTTGAGTTGGCGTCCGGTTTCTCCTATGTATGTTTTATTGCAGAGTTTGCATGGTATTTTGTAGACGACTGCACATTTATGTCCAGCTGGTATCTTGTCTTTTGGGTGTACTAGTCTGTTTGCAGCTGCAAACGAAACTGTCAGGAGCAAGGTAAAAAAGAAACCTTTTCTGTGTTTTAAAAAAAGAACCAACAATGCCGTTAGAAAAGCAACACAGCAAGAACATGCCAAAGATGTTTAAAGATGGTGGAAAAATTGACCCCTTTGATGCGTGACAGATGGATGGATGTCAAATTCACACTTTTAAATAAAGCACCACATTCATACCTACTCAGAATTTATTTTATCTCAAGTTTGATGGCGACTATAGATTTGGGCAGAATTTCTCATTTAAACTATATAATTTTTTATTTCTAAATGATGCTTGTAGTATCCTCTGTATCCCAAATGTTATCTAAGTTGTTTTTATCAGATTACCCAGAATCTGCAGTACAGGGAGATTACATTTTCAAACAATTTGTCTAGCAGTGCACCTTTCAAATGTTTACCTGAGAGATAATTAGGGCTTGAGGGTATTAGAAAAACATGCTGCTGCCATATTGATCAATATTTCTCAACATCATTATGGGATGCCAGTGGGCATTGAGGGCAATGAAGGTCTGTTACCTATAATTGCATTTTGTTTGTGTCTGGGGGTTATTGAAGGTTATTTAAATACTTATTTTGCGAGAGAGAGAGAGAGAGAGAGAGAGAGAGAGAGAGAGAGAGAGAGAGAGAGAGAGAGAGAGAGAGAGAGAGAGAGAGAGAGAGAGAGAGAGAGAGAGAGAGAGAGAGAGAGAGAGAGAGAGAGAGAGAGAGAGAGAGAGAGAGAGAGAGAGAGAGAGAGAGAGAGAGAGAGAGAGATTTCAGCTCATCACAGAGCACTCTGCATCAGTTTCTGCTTTGTTATCTGCTGCCATGAAGATGAAAACAGACACCAGGGAAGAGAAAGACAGGCTGTAAGGAAGGTGCACCAAGCGCAGAACAGGCATGGAGAGATGAGGAGCAGTGATACAGGATAATAAATGTGGTGAATAAAGCAGGGGTGATGAAGGAGAAAAACAGAAGAGCAAAATGTGACTCAAGAGAAGGTGATAAAAGAGAGAAGTAAGAAGAGATGGATGAATAGAGCTGTCAGACATCCTAACATCTCATTCACAGCTGCTCAGAACTGCTGTGAATCTCTGAAAATCATTTAACACCATGTTCTAACTTCTAAAAAAGCTGGCCTGGAATAAACCCACTCAGCTGAGATGGATGTGTGTGTAACGATTACAGATGTTGGTGGTCAAAATGAATCAGATCTCTGAGTCATACCCATAATCTGCTGGTCAAAAACTTTATTTTATTTTAAAGATTGTTTATCAAGTTTTAAAGCCAGCTTAAAAACAGAATTCTTAGAAAATCCATATCTTTTAATTTCTGGTGCTACAAGCAGAATAATGCAGAATGAGTGTCCTGAAAGCGTGCAGAGTGATTTGATTGTTTTCTTTGAAGAGACAAAACTTTTGGTTCAAGATTACTGCCCTAGTGTCTGAATGGGATCCGCCTAAAAATAGCTTTAAGTAAAAATTAGGGCCGGGACTTTAACGCGTTAATTATGATTAATTAATTAGGAAAAAAATGACGCGTAAAAAAAATGTACGCATTTAATCGCAGCTTGCATTTCGAGCAAGGCAGAACCTTTGTCATTGCACGATTTCCTCTTAGATCGAATATTAGTGATGGGAATTCCGGCTCTTTTTAGAGAGCCGGTTCTTTTGGCTCAGCTCACCAAAAAGAGCTCCCAAGTGGCTCCTCAGATTTTCTGTTGCGTAGATAACCAAAATAATGCAAAACTATGTGTAAAATGATTTTCTAATGTAAAAAAATGCTATATATCAAATATTTATCATTTCTATGGATTTAATAACTGAACACTTTCAGAAATCTCCACTTTCCGACTGCTGGCGCTCATTTTCTCACCGTCTTCGTCGCACTCTCCTCTCTCTCTCTCTCTCTCGCCTTTTTCCTCCTCCTCATTCCTTCTCGTCTCCCTCCGCCCGCATGTGCTCTGCTGTGTGTCTGAGTCTGATCCTCCCTCTTCCCCGCCCCTACTGCTCTGTGTGTGGACAGTCTGGACAAGCAGTAACACATGCTGACCAATCGCCTGTGGCTTTCACCAAAGCAAAAGGGGAGGGGGGAGGGGAGGGGATGGCTCCCAATGACGAGCCGGCTCCCGTCGTTCACTTCAAAGAGCCGGCTCTTAGAGCCGGTTCGTTCGCGACCGACACATCACTATCGAATATCACTTTCGCACACAACAATGTACAGTTCTAATGGCAACTAAAACGGAATAAAAACAGAAAGAAGTTGCCTTGCTTGGACTGATGCAGGATTTGGGAAACACGTCCGCCTCTTTTCTTAACTGGGAAAAAAAACTTCCAGACAACAACGGAGTCCGTGTCGCGGACATTTTTCAGAGATTGATACTGCTGCGGCTGCCCGGTGGCACCGGAAACTTTACAAAAGCTGCAATAAGTTATATTTTTAACATTTACGTAACATCTGTGCAGCGCTGAAAGCACCAGACAGAATAATTATGTGCCCTAACAGTAGTTTATGAAAGTAGTCAGACAAACCAGAGGCACCTGGCTGCCACTGGGAGAACGCTTCGTTCTCACTACTCTGTAAACAATCACAAACAACGTGTCTTAAAGTTGAAAACAGAAGTTTAAGTTAAAACAGAAACACTCTGAAACTTTTCTGATGATTTTCTAAACAATTCTGTCGGGGAATTCTATGTTTCTGAGACGAGTCACTGTCCAAACATCACATGAATTACCATCATTAAGCAAAAGCTGTCATTAGCGAAGGGGCGGATGCTTAAGTGCATCAGGGGCAACGAGGAACGGGAAAGTTGTGATCAGGCTGGAGATCACACCGGATTGGCTGCTGCAGGCGTGAATCTGCGGGTCTGCAGCACCCCCTTCTTAACGTGACATCAGGACTTCCCATGTAAGGAAGGTCCGCTCACCTGTTTGCCTAATGTTTGATTCTCTGTCTCATAATTTTAATGAAAAGTTTTGCTTTGAGAGCACATTTTCTTGAACAATTAAAATGTGATTAATTTAGATTACCGGTAATTAATTGCAAAGCCTCTAATTAATTAGATTAAATGTTTTGATCAAGTCCCAGCCCTAGTAAAAATACCTGAGTTTACAAAAAGGGTTTATAGCTGATATCTTAGAAGGAATGGGGTGAAACATATTAGCTCGAGGCAATAAATGTAAATGAAATTGAGGAGATTGGAAATTTTAATGATAAATGTCCTAAAATTTGAGGAGTTTTAATTTATTTTTTATTGACAATAAAAAACAGGAAAAGTGGCTGCTCTTATCAAAGCTGCATAGGTCCTCATCAAAAAGTCCTAAATTGAGTTAAAAAAGCAGCTAAAATTATATCTTAAAAAATGTAAAAATATTTGGTTTTCAGAACAATGAGTCTAATTACTCTGTAACAGAAAAGTCCAAATTCACCAAGTGATTATGTGCATTTTGCAGGTGCACATTTTTACAAAGACACCCTTTTGCACCTCTTTTTTGCACTTTGAAATAACATCTCTGCACTGGTGCAATTTGTGCATATTTGAATGAGATATCATGCACACATCTAAAGGAAAACACTTGTTTTTCACTGTTTGGGTAAAATCATTTGATTTTTGAAACACTTGCACTCTTTGCAGTTTTCATTTACCATCAAATATTTACAGATCCTTAGAGCTCGATGTGTGTGAGCCCCAAAAGAAGAAGAAACAAGAAAAAAGGAGCAATCTGCTGGACTCTTACTGCCACCAAAAAATGGGGCAGGCATGTCAGGAAAAGTCTAATTCACCCTTATCGGTTATGGCTGCCTGCATTGATGGCATTTCTACAATTAAATTGTTAAAAAGTGCATAAAATTCTGTAGCTTTTTTATGTTTAGAAAGAAAACCTTCAGTTGCACCTTCACATCCAGAGGATCAACCCTGTGATCATCTTGTTATACAATCACTGCCGCTGCTTCATCATTACTGACGCAATGAGCGCTTGTTAAAAAAAGTTTAATTCTCTCGTTTTTATCACTCCTTTCCAGGGTTATCTGTCTGAAGGTTTGGTAACTAAATGGTATCGTTCCCCTCGTCTGCTCCTGTCCCCTAATAACTACACCAAAGCCATAGACATGTGGGCTGCTGGCTGCATATTGGCTGAGATGCTCACTGGACGGATGCTGTTTGCAGGTAGTTTCACTTATAAATGCACCCTTGTGTGTTTCTGTTTTCTCAGTAGGATTCCTGTGTGACTAAACACAGAGCTGTGATGAAAAAGGAAATTTGTTAAATTATTGCATTCAGGTCCAGATTTGTGTCAGTTTTAGCTGCAGGAATGTACAACACTGCCTTGACGATCGCACCACGGAGGAGTTTTTCTTTCCGGAGTGTCCTCCACCAAAGACACTTCTATACTCTGCTTCTTTGCCTGACCAGAATAACAATGATGATTGAGAAACACACCCTGTCGGAAGGAAATATATTTCTAACTGACAAGCTGGTTTCATCCTACACCAACCCTCTCCCTTCAGAGCTGACATCAGAAACTCAAAAGGGTCATCTTCTCCCCGTCATTCCTGCTTGAGAGCCTTTCACACATCAGGTGTCTGGAATGCTTTACTCACCTCTCGCTTAGCAAACAAGGGATGGAGGGCAACACACCCCATTTTTTTGTATACCGGAGGGAAAACACTGCACTTAACAGCAGAATACAAGGCTTGCTCTTCTCTCAGAATGAGCAACGTGTGGATATAGCACCCCCTGCTGTTTGTCCTGAACACAATGATGAAAATAGAAATCCACACTGTGTGTGTGCTGCTGTCAGCTGGAAACATCCATAATCCATAATCTCTCACGTCAAAAACATTAAATTAGCTAAAAGGGCTCAAATACACAACAGCTGATTTCTTCCAGTGTGCAGAGTGGCTTAAAGTTGGTTTAAAATGGTTTGTTGGAACTAGTTATAGAGACAAGTCTAGTTAAATTAAAAAAGATTATTAATTTCTTATGATATTTAATAATCTCTCACCAATTATGTGTACATTTAGGAGCAGTAAACCCAAGAGACTTGCAGCCTGCCTGGACCCTTTTAATTAAATCTTCTAACTTTGGTTTTTCTATCTCCTGACAGCTCTCTCAGCCCCCAGTTATCCTTGTTTGACTTCATTTCTTTCCTTATGTAACTGATTCTCTGTCTCCTCTCGCTGCTTGCCTCTGATTGGACGTCTCTGTCCCCCAGGAGCCCACGAGCTGGAGCAGATGCAGCTGATTCTCGACACAGTGCCGGTGCTGAGAGAGGAGGACAGGCAGGATCTGATGCAGGTGACACCTTGGCTGCAGGACGGATATCTGCAATCTGATATTGACAGATGTTGTCTGTCAGCAGAAAGTAGGCAGCAGTTATAAAATGTGGCTGATGTGCACAGAAAACATTTACAGCATGACTTCTGACTCAGTTGAAATCTGCTTTATCGCAGTTTAATTCTGCAAATGCAAATAAATAAATAATAATTCAACATTATACAAATAGGAAAAGAATTTAAAATTGCTATTGGATTAGTTGTTTTTTTAGCAAAGAGACAGAAATCAAACCAATCTTACTTTCTAAAGTAAAATATAAATTAGAAAATAAATAAATAAAGACCTGTGTATAATTTCTTTCCTCCATGTTTTTTCTAGGTGATGCCTTCATATGTCAGTAATGGGTGGAAAGTCAGGAAACCCTTTTCTGAGCTGCTGCCTGAAGTGGATGCTCAGAGTGAGTGCTGGCAGTAAAAAAGGGGTTGTTGTGTAAAAAGAAACAGAAACCAGATAAATAAATAAAAATACAGTTTTTCAATGACCGATGAAAAAACAAGTTAGGAATTTTAAAAGGAACTCGCTTCACTAAGCTCTACTTATCTGCTTCCCAGCTGTGGATTTTCTGGAACGCATTTTGACCTTTAACCCCATGGATCGTCTGACAGCTGAAGAGGCCCTGTCCTACCCGTTCCTCCAGCAGTACTCCTGTCCCGAGGACGAGCCCACCTCATCACATCCCTTCCGCATTGAGGACGAGCTGGACGGCCTCATTACAGATCAAAGTCTGAGTAACAGTCAGACCTCCAGCTTTTACTGGGAAAGGTGCTGATCCAGCTTTTCAAAATGTTTTTATCATTATTATTATTGTTAGTAGTAGTAGTATTTAATTATTTGTTTTTGTAGCTGAAATTTAGTGAGTCCATAAAAAATCTGGACAATTTGTTTGATTTTCCACCAAAGAAACAACTTTTTTTTTTCTTCAATGCTATCCAAAAGCCATGAACCACACCTTATTTATTTATTTTAACTTTCAAAAAGCCAGTTGGTCTTCCGTTTTGAAAGTTGAGCAGTAGATTTCCATAAAGAGCAAGTCAACCCCTACCGCAGTCAAGCCTGGGGCACACCAGAGGCGGACACAAGTCCCGCGTGATGTTGTGACTATCGCACAATTTTCCAAGACGCGCTCAGCGTAACAGCGCATCCTGTGTTTCCACTGGACTTCTCAAAATCTCGGGCGCAGCGCATTCCCCTCTGCCTCTGGTGTGCCCCAGGCTTTACTTCGCTCCCCACTTCCTGTTTGAAAAATGCAGAAAGCCGCAGTTTGGCCATAACAAACACCATGTTCGAACATAAGGATGCCCATCGGTACACTTGGTACCAGGGCAGCCTAGGTTGCAGGTCGATGATAGACTTTGTAGTTGTATCATCTGACCTGCGGCCGTATGTTTTGGACACCCGGGTGAAAAGAGGAGCGGAGCTGTCAACTGATCACCACCTGGTGGTGAGTTGGATCAGATGGCAGGGGAAGATGCTGCGTAGACCTGGCAGACCCAAATGCATAGTGAGGGTCTGCTGGGGACACCTGGCAGAAGAACCTGTCAAGACGGTCTTCAACTCTCACCTCCGGCAGAGCTTTGACCACGTCCCGAGAGCAGTGGGGGACATTGACTCCGAGTGGGCCTTGTTCCACTCTGCGATTGTTGAGGTGGCTGTTGCTAGCTGTGGTCGCAAGGTGGCCGGTGCCAGTCGTGGGGGCAACCCCCGTAACCGCTGGTGGACACAAGAGGTTCAGGGAGTCAGGCTGAAGAAGGAGGCCTACAGGGCGTGGCTGGTCTGTGGGTCTCTGGAGGCAGCAGACAGGTACCGGATAGCCAAGTGGGGTGCAGCAGTGGCAGTTGCCTAGGCAAAATCTCGGGCGTGGGAGGAGTTTGGTGAGGCCATGGAGAAAGACTATCGATCGGCTCAAAAGAGGTTCTGGCAAACTGTCCGGCGCCTCAGGAGAGGAAGGCAGCAACTCGCTCACACTGTTTACAGTGGGGATGGGGAGCTGCTGACGTCAACTGAGGCTATAGTCGGACGGTGTAAGGAATACTTTGAGGAGCTCCTCAATCCCACCTATGCGCATTCCGAGGAGGAACCAGAGCCGGGAGACCTGGAGATGGAATGTCCAATCTCTGGGGCAGACGTTGCTGAGGTAGTCAAACAACTACACAGCGGCGGAGCCCCGGGGGCGGATGAGGTTCGTCCTGGGTATCTCAAGGCTATGGAAGTTGTAGGGCTGTCGTGGCTGACACGTCTCTGCAACATTGCGTGGTCATCTGGGGCAGTTCCTGTGGAGTGGCAGACCGGGGTGGTGGTCTCCGTCTTTAAGAAGGGTGACCTGAGGGTGTGTTCCAACTATAGGGGATCACACTCCTCAGCCTCCCTGGAAAGGTCTACGCCAAGGTACTGGAGAGGAGGGTCTGATCGATAGTTGAATCTCAGATTGAGGAGGGTAGGGTTAGGGTTAGCGTCCTGGCCGTGGAACTGTGGACCAGCTCTATACCCTTGCAAGGGTGATGGAGGGGGCATGGGAGTTTGCCCAACCAATCCACATGTGTTTTGTGGATTTGGAGAAGGCTTATGACCGTGTCCCCAGGGCACCCTGTGGGGGACGCTCCAGGAGTATGGGGTGGGTGGCTTTCTGTTAAGGGCCATTCAGTCCCTTTACCAGAGGAGCGTGAGTTTGGTCCACATAGCTGGTAGTAACTTGGACCTGTTCCCAGTGAGGGTTGGACTCCGACAGGGCTGCCCTTTGTCACCGGTTCTGTTCATTATCTTTATGGACAGAATTTCTAGGCGCAGCCGTGGTGTGGAGTGTGTCGAGTTTGGTGGCAGGAGAATCTCGTCTCTGCTTTTTGCGGATGATGTGGTGCTCCTAGCTTCACCCAGCTGTGACCTTCAGCTCTTGCTGGGTAGGTTCTCGGCCGAGAGTGAAACGGCTGGGATGAGGATTAGCACCTCCAAATCTGAGACCATGGTTCTCGACCGGAAAAGGGTGGCTTGCCAACTCCGGGTCGGGAGAGAGGTCCTATCTCAAGTGGAGGAGTTTAAGTATCTCGGGGTCTTGTTCACGAGTGAGGGTAGGGGGGATTGGGAGATCGACAGGCGGATTGGTTCGGCGTCTGTAGTGATGCGGACGCTGAGCCGATCTGTCGTGGTGAAGAGGGAGCTGAGCCAGAAAGCCAGGCTTTCGATTTACCGGTCATTCTACGTCCCACTCCTCACCTATGGTCATGAGCGGATACAAGCGGCCGAAATGAGTTTCCTCCGTAGGGTGGCCGGGCTCAGCCTTAGAGATAGGGTGAGGAGCTCGGACATTCGGGAGGGACTCGGAGTAGAACCGCTGCTCCTCCGGATCGAAAGGAGCCGGTTGAGGTGGTTTGGGCATCTGGTCAGGATACCTCCTGGACGCCTCCCCGTGGAGGTGTTTCGGGCATGTCCTGCCAGCAGGAGGCCTCCGGGTCGACCCAGGACACGTTGGAGAGGTTACATCTCCAATCTGGTCCAGGAACGCCTTTGGGTACTGCCGGAGGAGCTGGTGAAGGTGGCCGGGGAGAGGACGGTCTGGAGCTCCCTAGTTGGGATGCTGCCCCCGCGACCCGGACCCGGATAAGCGGAGGAAGACGACGACGACTTTTCTAATCATTAGCTGCCTTTAATTCCGCTTCATTTCAGGTCAGAACGCCTAAAGAATTGTTGTTCAAGAGTTTTTTTTCTCAAAATCACAAGAATGATTGACTTCTTTAGGAAAACAGAAAAGTGAGGTGTGGCTCAAGATATTTGCACTACACTAAGTGGACTAAATGCCTTTTGCATTGCCCAAAAAATAAAATCAAACCTACATCGTACTTCTAGGAATGAGCAATTCACAATTTTCGAGGATCAAATTCTAAAAATTCCTTGAACTATGTTGTGTGTGTGTGTATGTGTGTGTGTGTGTGTGTGTGTGTGTGTGTGTGTGTGTGTGTGTGTGTGTGTGTGTGTGTGTGTGTGTGTGTGTGTGTGTGTGTGTGTGTGTTGGCCTAAACTTGCAAACCATTGAGCACGCTGCTAATATTTAGCATATATCATGTTTTTCATTCCTCAATGTTTGTTTTTGTTCCTGCAGATCTGACAACAGTTTATCAACAAATACGTGCTGGCAACAGTCAAGTGGGAGATGTCGCTGCATGCCTGCAGAACAAAATCTATCTGACCTTGGAGACGTCACCGATAATGAAGAGGTGCAGAAGGACCCACGGGCTAATTCCAGCTCAGTGACAGAAGAGGCTCAGGTTGGAAAACGTCTACGCTTTAGCCTTATTCTGACAGATTTGTGCTCTTTTTATTTTTAGAGAATTGTAAACAACAACTAACCGCATTTGCTACAATAGGGATGCTTTTAAGCATAATAAAGTGATGCCATAAGATTTTTGAAACAAGTTTAAAGCGATCAAATCAGTCAAGTAGACATTAGAAGTGCAGTTATTTAATTTTGCATCCACCTAATTGTTTCTCCAACATGATTTCTTTTATAGATTGACCCCCGGAAATATTCCCACAGCAGCTCAGCAGAGCGTTTCTTGGAGAACTCCCACTCCTCTCTGGAGCGGGTGTGTGGTTTAGTGTACGGGGAGCTTGACTGTGGCCGCTCCTGCGATTACAAAGTGGGTTCTCCTTCATATTTAGATAAAATTGCCTGGCGAGAAGGAAAGCCTCAGCACTACTCAGAACCTAAACTGATTTTGGATCTGTCTCACTGGAAGCAAAACAATAGCAGCCTCCCCTTGCAGGCTGAGCCCGTCGGCTGCAGTGTGGAGAACCTGGGGGAGATGAACGAGGAAGACGAGGAAAAAAAGGAGGAAACTGGGGATTTGTTCCAGGAAATCTCTCGTTGGGTGGAGACCACTCAGTCTCGTCTGCACTCGCCCAGTTCCAGCCTTTCAATGGAGCAATCCTCACCCTCCTGTTACACCTCCTCTCCTCCCCTCCCTCTCTCTCCCACTGACCTCCCAGTATTCCACATCAAGGAAGTTGTACAACAGCCATCACCTGAATTTGACCTGGGCAGACTGAGCCCTCCTTCCACACCTTGTTCCAACCTGCTTCCCTCCATTTTCCCTTCATCTCCCACAGCTTCTGTTCCTCCTCAGTCACCTCCCTCGACCACACCGCTTGTGCAACTCTCAGAATCTCAGCCCCTTTCCTCCACCTGCTCCATGTCTCGGTCAGTGAACGCCGACTCAGCGGAGTGTCTCGCTGTCAAGCAAAAGGAACGTTTGTTTGACCTGGACGTCTTTATATCTCGAGCGCTGAAACTGTGCAGGCAGAATAAGGAGAAAGTCAGTGGGAAGAAAGGAAAAGATGGAAGGTGGACAGAGGAGAGCAAAATGCCAAACATTCAAGTATCCCCACTTCCAGAGCACAGGACGTCACCATCACAAACTCCCAACTCCTAATGATGTTCTCCAACTTCAGGTTCTGCACAACATTTTAAATGTTAGCACTTGCAAAAGCTTACTGTACACTGACGGATGTCTCTTGTGGAATATGCTGCTTTAACAGTTTCCGTAGCAACTTCTTCCTTTTTGGTTTGACTGCGAAGACATAAGCTGTGACAAACCTTCAGTTACAGTTAGAATCATACAGCTTTGCTTTGAGATATTCTCATGCTGTACACTGAAAGAAATGAAAGGTTGAGTTTACTTAACCAAATGATGTCAACTGGTTCCACTTAACAGCTGAAATTTAATGCATAATATGTAGATCACTCTATACATTCAAAGTTACACTGAGCAGTTTCCTACTCCTCTGCCCTACTGGTTGAAAGCGGAATTACAGCAGTTATAAATAACTGCTGCAGCCTGCTGTAGCTAGCACTAACAACAAGCTAGCACTAACATGAGCCCACTAATACTAAAATAAACCACACAGTTAAAAGATTCACACTGTTGGACAAAATTATTATTACTTACAAGTCCAGTAGCAACACAGCCAGGTCACCGTCAGTCCGTTATTTTGTAGCCTCATTTAGCTCCCTCAAACAAGTGTAGGCCACGCCGATGTTCACTCCGGTTTTGGCCCTTTGCTTCACCTCCTCGCTTACTTTTACTTCCAGGCTCCGCCATGATGCAAACAAAAAAGCAAACTTCTTCTTTTTCTTCTGCTTGCGCTTGACAATTGTCAATCTGATAAACTAACTAGAATATCAGCTAAAAGCTGTAACACAGGTAAAGAGCGCCCCCTAGGACATCTGCTCACTCCACAAGACTCCTAACCCCAAAATTCCACTATCTCCGCTCCGCCCCCGCGTTCCGCTGCCGCTCGCTTCCGAACTCAAATTATACTGTACCCGCTCTACAACGGCTCCGCTCTGCGGAGACCTGAGGTGCGTTAACAGACATGCGCAGGATTTTCGAGATCTTGCGATACAGTCCGAGCAATAAACTCGCAAGTTAGATCCAAACACCCGTTGTGTGGGAGAAGCATAGACACAAACTGTTTCATTTGTGTTGAGAGATCAGCAGTGTTTGGATCAACAAAGGGTGACTACTTTGATAATAGAAACTGTATTTATGGCTTATTTTTGTGCATTTAAAGTTCAACCGCCATTGATGGTCGTTAAAAGTTGTTAAACCTGTGCATATGAAACAAAAAACGCTTTCTGTTTATCGATTTATTGTGAAATAACGGAAGTTGTGCTTGCTCCCTTTCCTGTTGGGCAGTTGTGATTTCTGTCCATTGACTGCGGAGGTGCTCCGGTGTCCGGCAAAAATAGAATCAATCCTATTTTTGTCGGATGGTGGAACGGCGGGCGGCCGCAGTAGTGGAACAGCTCGACTACAACGGGACCATTTTTGCTGCGGAGTTCGTGCTGGAGCGGAGTGGAGATAGTGGAATTTAAGTCCAGTTTTCGGCCAGTAGACGGCTGCAGAGCCAAGCGGGGTGCAGCAGTGGCACCCATCAATTATGGAACTGGTCAACTTTCTGCTCAACAATCACTGAGATCAACTTTGAAGCTCTAGCTGGAAGCTTAAAAACTGTTTAGTGTTACTTAAAGCAACTAGGTTTAGTGGAACCAGTTGACATAACTTGGTTATGTAAACTCAACCTTTTATTTCTTACAGTATAAAAGTTTCTTAATAATACAAGTTTTTAAATTAAAATAAAAACAGGAGTAGAAGCTAATCAGTCCTGTTTAGCCTTGCCAGTACAAAAGACCAGAACAGCTTTCAAACATAAACGTCCAAATAACTGATAACAAAAATGCAAGATGGCAACCATACATATTTAAAGCTTGTTTTAAATTAAATGTTCTATTAAAAAAAACTTTGTAATGAAAATGTAAATGTAAAACAGCGTTCCAAGGGTCACCAAAAAACCGACTGTGGCAAAGGAAATGTGTTTTTTCCAGGCTTCTCTGAATGCAACAACTAAAATTTCACCAGTCACATAAATTACAATCAGACAGTTTGTATTCATTGCTGCTTCAACACTCTAGCCATGATTTACTGTTTTTTTCCAGTATAAACTTGTATAAAGTTCACATTTAAATATCTCTAGTTGTTATTTTTGTAATAGTTTCAAAATGGTAGAATCGTGTTCATTATTTGGACTTGTGTTGGAATATGGAATGCTCTAAATATTCTGTTGTCTTGGCTGTTTTAGATTTTAGTCTTTTTTTTTAATTTCCCCTGCTTGATAGGTCTAATAATTTTATTATCAATTTGCATAAAAAATACACAATTCTTTCTAGATTTATGTAAGTTAGTCAGAGAAGACTCCTAAAATGGCTTTCTGAAGTTTGGAGATGGTTGGTTCTCCACAAAAGTCCCTTTGCATTTACATGGAACCACTTGTCATGTAACCACATTGGAACTAAATGAACATTTGTGTTCTAATACTGTTGTGCAGTAGCTGCCTGCAGCCATAAAGATTTTGTTTTAGGTTTTTGAAATGTCTCGACAAGCCCACATGGCTACCACAACCAACATGCACATTTCATTTTGGCTTTAACTGCAAACCTGTTAATGAGCTAATGGAAATGACAAAGTTACTGCAAAAGTTCTGTTCTGTTAATTTTCCTTTTATGTCACTGCAACACCACCATCCCTGTTTTCACCGTTTAAAATGTAAAATCCTGCAGTGAAATTGCCATGTTTCCTATGGCATACATGGAAACCCAGAGTTAGGATGCAGAAGTACAACTCTGAGACATATCCAAGCTCACTGCCACTAAATCTGTAAAATAAGAATCTTTTATAATCCTTTAGAATGTTTGGTTGCATATGCATGGTTATTGTACCATCTTACAGTCAAATGATTGTTAAAGACAAAGCCAGGTTATGCATGTGTTTATATTTTTGATGAAGCACAAGCACACTCACAAATGTGGGATTTCTTCCTTTCAGCTGGAACAAGAGTTTCTTCTGCCAACTGTAGACATCTTTGGAATAAACCATAACTGGATTGAACTGGATCATTCACAGAAATTGATGAATATGTCTATTTACAAAAATAGAGGAACGTTGAAGCAATTTGATTTATTAAAACATGAATTTAATTTGTTTTTCATAGTTGACAATTATATTTGCAGTGCAGTTTTCTCTGAAGTAAATCTAATCCAGCAATAACATCATTAACTACTATGGGATAAAAACATAATAAGTGGTCACAGAGCCAACGTAAAATCATCTTAATTCTGTAAAGCAATGTTGAAAAATGTGCCTCAATACACCTCAATGCTTCCAGCTTGCTGAATGTAACAAATGCCCTCTTTTCTGTATGGCTATATATTTTGCTTGAATATTGTCATTATTGATGTATTTCTACGTGAAATTGGCACATTTATGTGGCTCCTCTTTTCACTTGTAGCCTACTCATGCTTTCAATGAGACAGCTTTATATTTGAAAAATAATCTGTGCGCTTTTTGATCTTCAATATTGAATAATTGTATCACTTTTTGGAGTGTTGGCTTTTGCTGGAAAATAATAATAATAATAAAAAAAAAGAAATTTCAAACCAAAATCTTTCTTGACCATTTGTGACACATTTACCGTAATAACAGGATAAAAGCCTTGCGCCCTTCTTTTTGTGTTTACGGTAACCAGTAATGAAATCCCACCCTGTGATTGGATGAGCGGCCAACGTCTTCTGCAGCTCTTCTCTGATCGTCACTGACACTCCGTTGGCTGCATTTGTAGCGGCTGAAGCTGCTGTACCAGGACACTCCAGACCTCAAAAATATTTACACCGTGGACATTTTGAAGAAAAATGCTCACTAAACAGTAAGCTGTCCAACAGAACATCCGCTTTGTCACATTTTAAAGCAGGTAAATCGAGCCGGTATGTTACAAAACAGATCCGAGAAGTTCCTTCTTCTTCTTCTTCTTCTTTTTAGCGAGGTGGGGGATCCGCTTGATAAACAACACGAAGCAAAGCCCTCAGGATAAACTTTAGAGTTGGATTGCTCTTTGTTTATTTGTTACAAACATAGAAATCGCGGTCTTTTATGTTGCTGACACAAGGTGCAGCCTGGAGATGTTCAAATAACACTAGCGAGTTGTTAGCTTGTAGCACCTGTTAGCAACGTTTTTGCTTTAATGGTTGTATCTGTTAAGTTACTTTACTAATTTAACGACTCGGATGTTTAAAAAATGAACATTGTGTGCGCGAATTTCCTTGCTCTTTGCATTAAAAACATTCCCTTTACGCCTTTACTTGCAATTAGTAGGATGAGATGACGGTTAAGAAGCATTGTAGCCAATCATCTTGGTTTTATAAGTAACTAATCAAGCCATCGCGAGAAGATAAAACTTGAGAGAACAAAGGCTTTATGGTTCACGAATATTGGCAGGTTGTTGAATATCCAAGTTTCACAGACAGGTCACCTGGGAGAGACAACACGTGTCCTTAAAAACTAAATTATCAGTACAGTTCAGGTTTGTAGTGTGAAACTGGTAGCATAGTGAACTAGACCAAATTCTTGCTTTGCAAAGTTTATATATTCACACATATCGGATGGCTTGCCAGGCTATGAAACTGGAGCTTGTTGCTTGTCAGGTGCGTAAGATAAATCATTGTTAAAATTGTTTATCTGCCATCAGGGGGTGTTGAACTGAAATTGGCGATGAATGGTAATTTTAAAAAATAGTGAACCATTGCTAGTGCATTAAAAAAATCCATCAAATTCTAAATCTGAGCAAGAAGCACCAAATATCTTGAAGTGAGATTCACCAATTGCTGCTTTCACTTTTTAAAGCAGCAGCTACAGGGAGTGTTTTAAAAGCTGCTTGTGTTGACAAGTTTTGCAACATTGCTTGCAGCAGCATTTCATGGAGAGTGATGGTTGTTTGTGTCCATGAGTGTTTGTCTCTGACAAAGGTCTCACCTGCTTCATAGCCTATGACTTTTGCAACACTTTCGCATTGATCATCTGCTGATAAGATGGCGACTTATCAAGTTGGGTTTTACAATTTAGCTGGAGTTTAGTATTGACTGTCTTCTTTTGTGAAAGTGGGTTTTTGTCTATTTTTGACAGAGAGTCACTTTAACTGGCCTCTTTCTGCATTCAGCACTACATAATGCAATTTGGATTGGCTCACTGGTCACATGCATGACACAACTCTTACAATTATACTTGTCCAGGCAATATAAGTATGAGGTGACTCTTAAGGTTAGTAAGTAGTAGTTGTAATTTAGACATTTATTTATTTAGTTTGGGATCTTTGGTGTTCTTCGTGCATCTGGATTATGAGACTGGTTTTTAGTGTTTTGTTTTTCTTGGAACTATGAACTTGAAAACAGTCAATCTTGAATCTTTTCTGTGTTTTGTGTCTGACATCATAAACATTGTTGCTCTGTGATTCTCAATTAAAATGATGGTTATTCCAAAAGACAAATAATGAAACATTTTAAGCAGCTGATCACATGCCTTCTTTTTCTTCTTTTTTAATGCAGAAATCTTTCATCAGTAGAAGCTCCAGACCAGCAACAATCCACAATGTTATCCAAGTTAAGGACTGCCAGGTCCCTGGCTCCATGTGTGTCTGTTATCAGATTGGCTCACACTAAAGAAAAGGGGAAGCCACTCATGCTTAATCCTCACACTAACAAGGTAGGATGGCTGCTGATGATGCATCCATGTGTTGGTTATTAAAAACGGACATCAGAGTTTTGCTGTGTTGCATGCTTCATGGTTTAGAGTCTAGCCCTGTGATGCTTGAATTATGAAATCTTCAACCATGATTTTTTAAACAATTTTTTCATTCGTCTTTAGGTGTGAATGATACGAATTTCAACAAATATTTTTTGTAAAATTTTATAATTTACAAATAATTTATTACATGTCTACTTCAGTTGGCAGCGTGCATTCTGAACATGAAATATGTTGGCTTGGCTTACTGAAGTCCAAATGGAGGGGCTCAAATGCAATAAAGTCTTCAACAGCTGTGCTTAATAGCAAAAACAAATAAATAACAATTTTGAGTACCTGTCCACTGTAGTGACCATTATGCATCAAAGGGTTAAACTAACACTGATATGGTTTTGACCAGTTTGCAGTTTTTTGCATAACTTTGCAGAAAATGATTGCAAAGTTAAGCAAAAATAAATAAATAAATCAATGTTGTTTGACCACGGTGTTGAAAAGAAGAACTTCTAGTTAGAAACCAGATTAAATCAATAAGTCTGTTTAAAGTTTACCTTTTTTGTATTCAGCGCAGGTTCTTGTGGTGTGACTTTTGAGTTTGGATCTAACTTTAATGTGAACGCAGATTAAACATGTCTGCTTGCACCAGTAAACACCAAACTGTTTGCTAACTATACTCTGATGGAAAGTGTAGTTTTCAAACTGGAAGGAATTTTTACACTCGGTATTTGTAGCTTGAAGCTAAAACTGGTTGAGGTGACATGATCTTTCAACAGGCGTTAAGTTTAACCTATCCATAACTAAACTTGTTGTGGTAAATATAGACTAGACAACATGCATGTGAACTGGTCACGGGCCAGCCGCCAACTGGGTCTGTGTACATGGCAACCATCCGATTTTCCTTTGGTAATAAAAAAAAGGGGAAACGAGCCGTTTTGCCGATCACCAATCAAAAAAACGAAAGAATGTAAACGGAAGTCAACTCGTTTTTTGTTTTTCTATTTTCAACATAAAAAGGAAAACGGAAAACAAACTTTTTTTTGTTTTTCGATAGTGTATTTCAAGATGAAACGTTTAAAATCAGAATTTCTTTTTTTATTTCCAAAGGAAAATCGGTTGGCCGTCATGTACACGGACCCAACTGGTCCCATAGGCTTAACATCACCTATTGGTTTTCCTTGGAGTTTGAATCTGAACCGAGTTACTTGTAGTGGGACCTTTGTGCAGGACTGAGATGCAGCTTGATCACTAAAAACCTGTAAAGGTGATTAAGAGAAAATAGACGAATAAAGCATGAACCACTGTTAACATTTTCCTCCACTAAAGGTTTTGTTCTTAACATGGCATGTCAGTTTGAACCTGCATGAATGGATTTCAGATGTTTGCCCTAATGCTGAAGGGGGCTGAGTTGACTCAAATGCTGAATAAGCATGACTAAGCATTTTTTAGAGGAGCCCCAGCACACATCCCTTTTTTAAACAACATAATCAGCCCCTCCACCAGCCCCTCTCTCAATGGCTTACATATGTTATGCCCTTATTCAGACACGGCACTGTAACTCCTACATTTGTTTACACACACACACACACACACACACACACACACACACACACACACACACACACCCCTCCCCACTTTTAAGACTGTTCCTAAACACTGCTCGTCATTGGCTCCTTAAAACAACTCCTATTTTCAAGTATTTTATTGTTTTCCAACAGAATTCCTTTCATCTGGTTTCTCTCATTTCCCAGCTTTTGCTCAGTACTGTAAAGAATCACTAGGTTAACACTAATAAACCCACTTATACAGCAGCGCCCTCTAGTGACAAAGTGGAATACAAATGTTCAACAGGCATTAAGAATTTTTTTCTTTTTTAGAAAGCTTGAATGTTTTTTTTATATTTAGTTAATAAATCTGCAGCCAACGTGATGCAGAGGAATTAATTAAAACTGAAATATTCTGGTCTATAATCTGTTGGAGTTCAGTATTTTATTAATATTTGATGTAGTTTTTCCCTCTAGCATAGATGCTATTGGATAGATTTTAAAATTCTAGTGTGTGTGTGTGTGTGTGTGTGTGTGTGTGTGTGTGTGTGTGTGTGTGTGTGTGTGTGTGTGTGTGTGTGTGTGTGTGTGTGTGTGTGTGTGTGTGTGCGTGCGCGCTTCTTCATAGGGCATGGCCTTCACACTGCAGGAGCGACAGATTTTGGGCATACATGGTCTCTTGCCTCCTAAGGTAGAAACTCAGGACATTCAGGCCATGCGCTTTCAGAAGAACCTCAAGAAGATGACTGATCCCTTACAGAAGTAAGGATGTATTTCTGTTAAATCACCAGAACATTTGTCTATTGATTCCCGATGTTCGTTGCTACAGGTTCATATATTTGATGGGCATTCAGGAGAGGAATGAAAGACTTTTCTATCGAGTGTTGATGGAAGACATAGAAGAACTGATGCCGATCGTCTACACTCCAACTGTAGGCCTGGCCTGCACACAGTATGGACACATATTTAGGAGACCCAAGTAAGCATTTCAACAAATGATCTCATGATGAGTTATTGTAATTAGGGATGCAAAGATGCCACATTTTCCAAACCAATACGATACCGAAACTTGGATCTGAGTACTCGCCGATACCAGTTACCGATACCGATACTTCTACCACACAAAAAAATGCAATGATTTGGAATACATATTTTATTTTCTTCTCTGCTTTCAACAGGAAAAGACTGTGAGGTAGATAAAAAGTAAAATATATGAATAGAAATCATCACAAAACTAAAATATTAGGTGAACAGAAATGACAAGTTACAGTGAAGCCATTTTCAAGCAACTGCATTGGTATCGGTTAACTTTTACTGATACCAGTATCAGTATCGTATTGGTATCTGCACCTATACCAGTATCGGTATCGGTGCATCCCTAATTGTAATTTAATAATAATCAGTTTCTTGCTTCTCCGTCCTACTGGTTGAAAGTGGAATTACAACTGTTGTAAACAACCCTTCCACAGCCTGCTGTAGGTAGCGCAAACATGAGCCAACTAATACTAAAATAAACCGAGAAGTAAAAAGATCCACACTGTTGGACAACATATTATTACTTACAAGTTCAGTAGCAACAAAACCAATGACTTCATAGCCTCCTTTAGCTCCCTCAAATGAGTGTAGGCTGTGTTCAGTCTGGTGTTAGCTCTTTGCTTCACCTCCAAAGACATAACTCTTCCTTTTACTGTCAGGTTCCGCCATGATACCAACATAAAAGCAAACTTCTTTTTTTTGTGTGTTTTTTATTGATAGTCGGCAAACAGAAAAAGCTAACTGCTAGCCTTTATATTAGCTACCGTCAGAGTAAACAGTTAAGAGCCTTTGAACAAATAAAGAGCACCCCCTGAGACACCTACACACTCCAGAAAACTCTTAAAGAGGGACTGCACACCATCAGAAAACATAACTCCACCCCTAGTCAAGATTTGAAAAATGCCATGAAAGTGAGCGTTGTCAGCAGGCACAGAGTGGTATGGCCAAGTGTGGGGAATTTCCATCCCACAGGCAGAGTCTTGGGGCTAACAAAAGCCAACCCCAGCCCTCCGCCTTACACCCAGAGCAACTCCAGCAAAGGAGAGTGTCCAACCCCTCTCAAGGACTTGGGTTCCAGAGCCAATGCTATGTGTCGAGGTGACTCCGACTAAATCTAGCCGGTACCGCTCAACCTCTGCCACAAGCTCCTGCTCCTTCCCCGCCAGAGAGGTGACGTTCTATGTCCCAAAAACCAATTTTCTTGTCCGGGGATCGGACCGCCAAGGCTCCCGCCTCGGTCTGCCACCCAATCTACACTGCACCGGGCCCTTCATGTTACTCCTGCAGGTGGTGGGTCCACAGTTGGATGAGCCCATGTATCTGGTTAGGGCTGGGCCCGGCCGGGCCCCATGGGCGAAAGCCTGGCCACCAGGCGCTCGCTCACGGGCCCCAACCCCAGGCCTGGCTCCAGGGTGGGTTCCCGGTAACCCTCTGGGCCGGGTACTCCGACTCTTTGAATTTACTTCCATGAAAGATCCTGTGAACCGTTATTTGTCTCACCCTTCACCTAAGACCAATTTTTCATGGGAGACCCTACCAGGGGCACAAAGTGCCCCAGACAACATAGCTCCTAGAACAAGGGTCGGCAACCTGTTCCCATCAAAGAGCCATTATTGCCCGTTTCCCACAGTAAAGAAAACACTGGGAGCCACAACAGCTGCGGCGTTGTGGGCGGGGCCTACCCTCAGACATCTGAGAGCTGCTTTAACCAATCACAACAGGTGACAGCAGCCAGTACCGGTCGCTCGTGTACGTCAAAGTTATCTTTCATAAGACGATAATCAATAAAATGATTTATATAAAATGGATCCAGAAGTTGTAGCCCGTCTCTGCCGACAATATTTTGTTCAGAATACAAATCCAGGCTCTGTCACGTTTGATTGTTGTAATTAAACTTTGTAGGTGGGGAAGGTCAGAAAAGGATCCGATCAATTTGTTTTTCCCTCATTTACAGTGACGGAGATATGGCTCTGGTGTTAATCAAGTTAAATTATATCTCTTTGCAACAATTTACACTAGAAAACAGAACAGTTAAAAGCAGGGCTTGTGTTTTTTGACCGGATAGTTCCCGTATTTGACCGTTTATTTTGACGGAGAAAGAATAGAAAGAATTACCCCGACGCATGCAGACGAACTGACATTTTATTTGTTTCGCAAATCGCATATGTAGCTAAATCACTCAAGAAAACATTCCCATCTGAACATCTGAGCTGGACACTGCTCAGCGCAGCTCACCGTCAGCGCGTACGTACGGTGCACAGCAAGTGGAAGATGTGGAGAGGGGCTTGGAGCGCGTCGAAAAATCAGAACGCATTCAGGAAGATTCCTCCGACTGAAGCGAGACTTGTCACTTAGAAAATGTTCCCTGATGATGAAACTTTGACTGAATAGTGCTTGTTTCTGTCTCCAATGTGGCGTCTGAGGAGAGTCCCAGAATCTCACATCGTCTTCAGCTAATAAAGCGCCTATGATTACCACAAGCGTGACGCGTCAACCCGGTCTCACAGTCAGACCGGGTTGGACCTGTTCAGGTTTACACAGACAATCTTTACATTTAGAATTGGCATACAGATGTAAAATTAATGCAGTAAAATATAAAGCATTTTATTTAAATTTCCAGTCATTATTTTACAAACACAGAGAGCCGCATCAGATGGATGGAAGAGCCGCATGCAGCTCCAGAGCCGCGGGTTGCCGACCCCCGTCCTAGGATCATTAGGGCACTCAAACTCCTCCACCACGATAAGGTGACGGTTCAAGGAGGAGCTGTGCCCCGGCATTCTTCAAATATCCAAAAGATGCCCATACTTCCATCTTTGTCTTCTTTGAGACATAGTAAATGTCCTGAGCGCTGCCGTCTCCTCCTTTGGCCATTATTTCAGCTTTAGCTTCAAGAAAGTTTTGGTTGTAAACAACAAAGTGCGCATGTGCCGCCGGCAACTTTAGCAGATGATACGGTGGCTGGTAAGGGTCACCGCGCCTACACCGCAGCCACGTTAATCCACCGAGATATATTTTTTAAAAAACCAGACGGTTATTATTATTCTCAACTTTTTTTACCGGGGTTTACCGCTACACCGGTTACCATGACAACCCTAATTTGTAAAGACCCATTTATACAGTTTATAAGCAAAAATAAGTTATTTGGGGGTTTACTCCTTCTGGTCATCAGAGAGCTGCACAGTGCTGTCCAAGGTGAAGTCGGTAAAGTTTCTGCCTACACAATCATTGAAACCCACTTTTAAATGAATAGCTTAAAGTGTAAAAATACTGTTTAGTGTTACTTTAGTAAGCATTTTGATCACATTAAAAATATTTGGTGTAAAGGAGAGTCATTAAAACACAAAAATAACAAAAGTTACTTTGTTTCAGAGGATTATTCATCTCCATTCTGGACAGAGGACATATTCGCTCCATCCTGGACAACTGGCCAGAGACTAATGTTGCAGTAAGTTCATCAGAAAACATTATCACAGCAAGAAAGGTATTACATTTAGCAAATAAAATTGTATGAAAGATACAAAGAGAGGATTTAATCTTTTTTAAACTCCAAACAGGAATTTCTATCTATATAGAAAGTAACGTAATTAGAACTATTGCAGGAAGATGTTTTAATTGACTCATTTCCATCGACATTCCCATAGCAACAACAGATTATTGAGTTGATGTACTTCTTTTCTCTCGTTTTGTTTCCATAAAGGCAGTGGTGGTAACTGACGGAGAACGGATCTTAGGCTTAGGGGACCTGGGCTGTTATGGGATGGCGATACCTGTTGGAAAACTTTGCCTGTACACCGCCTGTGCCGGCATTAGGCCTGAGAAATGCCTGCCCGTGATGATAGATGTTGGTACAGACAATGAGGTAAGTCAGATGTGTACATTTGCTCCATTCTCTAAGTGTTCTGGTGAAAGAAGAGTACACAAGTTGACTGTCTGTGCTCTTTCTCCCATCAGACCCTCCTGAAGGACCCATTCTACATGGGCCTGTATCAGAAACGGGACCGCTCTCAGGCGTATGATGATCTGATTGATGAGTTTATGGAAGCTGTGGTCAAGAAGTATGGACAGGACACCCTGATTCAGTTTGAGGACTTTGGGAATCACAATGCTTTCCGCTTCCTTCGGAAGTACAGGGAGAAATACTGCACATTCAATGATGACATTCAAGGTTTTAAACATACCCTACTTTAAACCATTAACACGCTGGACTTCTACTTACCTCCTTCACCATTTACACGTTTTTTTTCCAGCCTTTAAATCACATTTCAGCTTATTCAGTTGCATCTTTTTTTGTAAACAAACCGTCAAAGGAATAATTTTTTAAGCAGACAAATCTTTTGTTTTTACTTTATCACAGCCAATATGAGCGAGGATGATGATATTTACAGGCAGTGCTGCAAGCTATATGTGCAAGCAAACACCATTGCACGGAAGTTCAGCTGTTGTTCCACACCTGTTAAAATTATTTAAAGCATACTGCACACCACTATATACTACACATCTGGTCATTCTATAAAAAGTCTAGCTTGCACAGGTTACAAGTGGCATACAATGATGCAATGAGAATCCTCAAAATTCCCAGGGGAGGCAGTGCTTGTCAAATGTTTGTTTCGGTGACAGTGTGCACATTTAATAGCCTAGTGAACTAGACCAAATTCTTGCTTTGCAAAGTTTGGTCTAGGCATGCTCCATTGGAACCTCAGCAGCTCCTACCAGGACTCTGGCTAGCCAATCACAGCTCTCTAGAGGGGTTTCAAACACATAAAGAGCTGTGATTGGTCCACAATGGTGGGCCAGTCATAGTGCTCTATCTGCTTAGTGAACAAATCACAGAGCTTTATCCGCTTTGTGGGCCAATCAGGGCACTCTATATGCCTGGTGGGTGGGATGATGCAACAGAGTGAAACAAGACTATGTCACATTCATTGTCCAGTGGAATGCGGAGATCATTTGAAAGACAACGGTAGAACCCGCCCCACAACCGAGAGCCGTCAATGGAGCATGGCCAGACTAAATAATACATTTAGGCTACACATTTAAGGCACTTCTAAGAAATTTAATGTTCAAGTTAATGAGACGGCTGGAAGAATCTTCCAATAGTTTTATAGTTGCACTCTCAAATCTCACTGTGAGCTGCTCTCGTTGTATGTCTAGGCTGAGAATGCACTGGTTAAAATGTTTGGGTGGATTTATCTCAACTAGTTTTGTTGTCCCTTACCCCCGCTGCAGTCAAATCCTGTGATTTTATATAGGCTTTTACTGGTGTTAATGTTAGTTGGTATCCTATCTTGTGTTTTTCTTGTATGTTTTTCTTTTATCTGTATGTTTCTTCTAAAATGGACTTTAAGTCTGGCAATGAATGTATCATTATTTTAACCTGATGTTTACCTCAACATGTTTCCAGGCACTGCATCTGTAGCACTTGCTGGTCTGTTAGCGGCTCAAAGAGCCACTGGTAAACCCATCACCGAACATCGTGTGCTTTTCCTGGGAGCTGGAGAGGTAAGCTGACACTTAATCCACTTAAAACTCGAGAGTCCTACTGCCCCCTATTGGCTGGAGCTGGATGAAGAAGTTTCACGTAAACAAAGCAAAAGTTTTTAGATACTCTTGTCTTTTTAGGCAGCTCTTGGAATCGCCAATCTGATTGTGATGGCCATGATGGAGTCTGGGACAACTCAAGCAGCCGCCAGAGAGAAGATCTGGATGTACGACGCCCACGGATTACTTGTAAAGGTGTGTGTGTGTGTGTGTGTGTGTGTGTGTGTGTGTGTGTGTGTGTGTGTGTGTGTGTGTGTGTGTGTGTGTGTGTGTGTGTGTGTGTGTGTGTGTGTGTGTGTGTGTGTGTGTGTGTGTGTGTGTGTGTGTGTGTGTGAGTGTGTGAGTGTGTGTGTGTGTGTGTGTGTGTGTCATAGGTACACTGCAAAAACTTATTTGTGCAGACGTTTTATTTACTTCCTTTTTCTGTAACTTTAGGGCAGAAAACAGGAAATGGACACCAACCAGGACGCATTTGTCCATGACAGTCCGGGGGATGTACAAAGCTTCTTAGATGCAGTCAACACCATCAAACCTACAGCTATTATTGGTGATGGAGATATGCATTTTTATATTTTATTCAGTCTTTTTTTATTATTATACATGTCCTAACAGCAATCCCTTACCAAACAGAAGCTGACAATCCAATTTGTTTCTTTTCTTCTTCAAGGTGTGGCTGGAGCTGGACGTCTCTTTACTCATGATGTCATCAAGGCCATGGGAGCTCAAAACGAGCGACCGATTATCTTTGCTCTGAGTAACCCAACAAATAAGGCAGAGTGCACAGCAGAGGACGCCTACACGCTAACTGATGTACACGTGCTTCTTCTGGTTTTTGACTAACTTTAGTTTTTTCTTGTTTTTAAACTCAATTTCAGTCTGTTTTGTCCTGTATGAAAGGGTCGGTGTCTGTTTGCCAGCGGTAGTCCATTTGGTCCTGTTACTCTTGGTGATGGGCGGGTTTTCAAACCAGGACAAGGGAACAATGCCTACGTATTTCCAGGTAAAATAAAAAAGAATAAACTGGAAACATTCCATGAACATACAACCTACATCCTCGCAAATGTGTTTATTATAGTTTTATGTTTCAGGTGTGGCCCTGGCTGTGATTCTGAGTGGAGTGAGACACATCAGTGATACCGTTTTCTTAGAGGCTGCTAAAGTATGATTTAGATCTCTGATGACTACTTCCCATATGCTAAAGCTCTTCTGTAACTCCTACTCATCCCATTTCCCTTTCTTTGCTCACTGCCTTGTGTTCCTATGCTAACCTTTTTTTTAACCTTTTCCTTCTCTGTAGATTCTGGCTTTATAGCTTTTAAATGAAGTCCTTTTAAAAGGCTGATCCATCTGTGCTCTCCCTTCTTTTGCTGAGCTACAGTTAAAGCTACAATGGCAAATCTGCAAAAAAAGCTAGCTTAAAACATATTTTCATGCCTCTTAACGCGTTAACTGCCAATGACGACTAAAGTCATCATTTGCATTTTTGCACTGGACGGACGTCGGACGAGCCCCCGCACCATGAGAACAAACATCTCAGCTCTAAAGTCGATCTTCATCCACGTACGTCACACGTCACGTGATCAGGAAGCAGAAAATCCATGTGTAAGGAGATCGTTTTGGGCCGCTGCTGTAAAATTAGTGAGGCGCGAACCGGAAAAGCCTCTGTCGATAACAATTTGACAACGGTTTTTGAAAGAACAGATGACGCTTGAAACGTGCGGATTCTTCTTGATGTAAGCGGATAGTCTACTCTTTGTTTTGGTAATTTTGGCGTTGACATCATAGAGCACCACGTTCTGTGACTCTTGAAAAAACAGTGAAAACGCTGGCAGCGAAGGGCTTTTCTCATCAGGAAACAGCTGGCAGTGAATAAGTTAACAGTGTTCTAACATATAGATATAGCTATGAATATTTGTGGAGATTTTAAAAAGACATAAAAATATAATTAAGTGGTTCTCTTGCATTTGTCTAAAAATCTCTTCCAATAACGCGGCTCAGTCCGAAACCAATGATTGGACCATTTGGTCGTATGTCTGTCTGAACCACCACACTTTCCTCGGTCCTGCCCTCGTTACACGCTCACGCATTTAGCAACAGAACACCACTGGTGTGAGAGGCTCTCCGCTCGATGATGACCTAACCCATAACAGCCGGCTGCTACCACTTTAACTTTAGGACAAACTACCAGAGTCCCAAAGGGAGAAACACTTTTTGAAGTCGTAGAAAACAAAATATGTTTGAATTTAGAAAATGGTGACTGGTGTTTAGCACTATCTCGCTTGCTGTGGGAATGCGAGTTCCATAATTGGGGGCGTGGCCTAAGGATGACAGCCGGTGGGAGGGGTAAGAGTTCTGTGACTGTGTTTGTGTTTAATAGCTAGCCTGTTTAGTAGATTTGCCGCTTTAAAGCAGCTTTAAAGAGCAAGTCACTCCAAATTAACATTTTTCTGCTGATAAACTATATAAATGAGTGTGTGTGATCGTGCTGTAGACACGTGTCGTCAACAATTCGGCATTTTAGTTCATCTTGGTTAAAATTTAAGTATTCGGCCTAAAACTGTAAGTGATGCACCGTCGTCAGGTAAAAACTCAGCACTGTATTTGAATTTAAATCTGCCATCGCTATTGGCTAAGAGGTACACTATGATGTTAGATGGTACATTATGATGTCACAATGTCGTGAGTGTGTGTATTTGTTAGCTGCTCCACCCTTTTGGTCTGCTGGGCAACAGTATTTTTTGCATTTTTCAAACAGGAAGTGGGAGTTGAGTAAGAATCTGGTCGGGGTGACTTGCTCTTTAACTCTGATCATGTTCAGTATTTAAAACTGCAACTTTATTGTTTTTTTTTTTAACTATTTTATTTTTCTTGCAGTCTCTTGCTGAGCAGCTGACCGATAATGAACTCAAAGAGGGCAGACTCTATCCTCCCCTCTCCAACATCAGAGAGGTCTCTCTTCAGATCGCTGTCAAGGTACGTCTACTACAGTCCTGTACTTTGTAGAAAAAACATTAAGGGTTTGAAACATTTGTCCATGCTGATACATTTCTTCTTCCCTGCAGGTGATGCAGTATGTTTATGCTAAAGGCATGGCGTTCCGCTACCCTGAGCCGATGGACAAGAATGGTTTTGTACGCGCTACTGTGTGGAACACTAACTACGAGTCCTTCCTGCCTGATACCTACGACTGGCCTGGTGTCAGCTTTAAGCCCAAAACCAGCTAAATGTGTCAAAATGGACCTCTGTTTCTTTTTGTTTTTCCACCCTTATTTTGATCACTGTGATCTCGGTGTAATTGTGCACCAAAGCACATTGAAAAGATCTCTGAAAATGAAGGGTGGAATGCAACACTTGAAAGAGAGGACCAGCGTGGTGACAATAGCCATTTTCTCCATGTTACTTTGCTTTTACGTTAGGAATAAGTAACAGATCTTGATTGCCCCATAGTGGTGCAGAAGGGCGATGTGGAAAACTGGTTTTAGTGGTGAGATGAGGTGATTTGGCACATTAAAACTAAAAAGAATACTACTCTATAATGCATTTGCAGTGTTTTATATAAGTACTTGTGTTGCAAGTTGGCATTATGAACACATGCTGTAACTGTTCTTTTCTCAGTGGATTTTACCTGATCTTTGTGTCATTTCATGGGATTTTTTTTTATTACACCCTTGATATCAGAACATATTACACACAAACCACATTTTTACTCCTCCAGCCTACCTAGAAGCTGCTCAACCTGACTAAGGCTTACTTGGATAGCGAAGAAATTTCTACATTGCCCTTTCTCACATCCCAGGGTTCCACTAATCTAACTGGTGTGGAACACAACACAGGGCAAAGTTTAAAAACTCGGTTTTTGTCTGCAAAGTAGAGGAAAATCATTTTGTGACTGATAGAATAAATAAAGCAAGGATCTTAATATGTACCTCATACTGAAAAAGGTTAGATTTGATAAAGGGAAGTGGAATAAAATAAATATTTAAAGAGTTTAAAGATAACTGCAGCTGTAATACTTGAATGTAAACTCCAACATATTTGTCAAATGCTCTTTTTACCTTATATTTATATATTTGAGATTATTTTGAGTCAACACTCCTTTAGTCAATTGAGAAACTAAACCCTTGTCTGTAGTAGTAGAATATATTTACCTTTATGAAAATTATATTTAGCAGAAAACAACTGGATAAATGTTTATTTGGTATTTGTTCACTTGTGTTCTTCCCTAATGTTCACTTTTTGAAATGTGCAGCACAAAAACAAAACTACAAACAAGGTTTTCTTTGTAACACTTTGAAATGCACAAATAAATCTCACAAATCTGCTTTGCAGTTGGTTGGTTAGAAAATTGTATGTCCTGAATGCAAACAGCTGTGCTGTCGAAGGCCAAACACGCTGTGACTTTCTGAATATGGTTTCACGCCAACTTTCCTTAAGTTTTAGGCACTATATAAGTTGTAAACTCACACACTTATATAGGTAATTGCCAGTTGAAAGCTGGAGACCTAGTATTTCATGTGTATACATGTCAGTGGCACCAGCAGCGTTGTGCGTTAGTCTTTAGATATCAGCTATATGTTAAAATTTGGTGTTGATGTCCCTTTATGTAGACCCTCAACATGCTGCCGATTGCTGAGAAATGACTCCGCTTTATGAAGAAAACTTCTTTTAAGTTAGTGTAAATCCAGTATTCACCGTGAACCATTTTTCTGTGATAAAGGCAAACATTTGTACTCGCATTCTCGTGTTTCTGTCTTTATTGTTGACTGTACTGGTCTTGTCTCAGTCTATTGTTTTGGGGACACTTTTCAGGGCAGAGTATATTTGTGCTATGATATTAAATGATGTATTAAAACTATTAAACCTGATATACATTGTTTTTGTTTGGTTTTGTCTTTTTAACAATTAATTTATCTAGACATAGTTATTGTAACCCGTAGTTTCAAAACAGAGTTATCTAACATTTTAACATTTAATTCAACTTTAACCATGGTTTTTAACTAGTTTTATCAAAGACATTTTTAGCTTATTAAAATTTGTTGTGGTTCGCTAAGCCATTCGTCCCTTTGCACCCACCGTAGTTCTTCTTACGTCATCAACATGAGACGTGGCAATGTTTTCACTTGACGTTTTCTTTTTCTGTGAGAATGTCCATGGACATTACGTTTCTCGGCACCGGTTCGGCGTATCCGTCTCCTCACCGCGGAGCCTCGGCTCTGGTTCTGCGGACTGACGGAGACTGCTGGTTGTTTGACTGCGGAGAGGGAACCCAGACCCAGCTGATGAAGAGCCAGCTCCGAGCCGGTGAGACGCCGCAGCTCCCGCACACCGCCCTTAGCAGTGAAGATTTATTTATTTAGTTAGTTTTTTTTTTCCCGTACGACTGAGCTCCATTCTGGGAAGGCACAAATGCTTTTTTTTTTCTTTTATTGCGTTTCCTGACACCACATGGCTTCACGTGCCTTTGTTTACGAGTTTCTTTCAAAATAAAATCACACACCCGGTTTGATTCTCTCTTAAATTGCTCACAAGATTAAAAGAAAGACTTCCTGTTCGCGCTTCATTCAAGAGAGAACGATGTTTATGAAAACAATTGCAAGTTCAAATGTATCTTGTTTAAATTAAAAATAATTAATACGATATCTTCTCCACAGACAATGAATGATACGCAGATAAGTGACTGTGTATGTTTAAATCAAAAGCGTGTTTTACAATACAGACATGACACATTTAGCATATTTTGGTGTTTTTCTAAATTAAAGCCTTACTAACAATCCACAGCAAATTCCCCCAACCCAATTTCCAAATTTCACAACCCAATTTCCCCACAAATGATCATATAGTGTAAAAGAAAATATCTGATTCCACCTCTAATCCCACTTCAGATTAAGGTCTCCTCCACTTAACACACATTTACAACCTGATCTGATGGGGGATTTCAAAATTAAAGTCTTCCAAACATGGTCATTTTAAAGCCACTATATTTAAACAAACAATGTGTAGATTTTAACATTCATTTCTGGAAATTTCCATCAAATTGTTGTTGAAAATTAATTAAATGATGCCCATATAACCATGAAAATCAGGTCTAAAATACATGGCAGCGGGTCTAAGGTCCAATCTCAATACTCGCACTGTGCCCTGCGTATTTCAGCAAAGTGCGCTTGGAGAAAGTGCGCTGTAAGGCTTCGAGTGTGTCGTACACAAATGGGCAAATAATTGCAGAATTGAGACAAGGAGGATTGCGTCATCGATCGCAGCGCATGCCAGGATGCTGGTCGCTGTGTTACTTTTTTCAAAAACCTTTATTAACCATTTTTAAACAAACAGCCAAACAGTTATTTGAAATAAATTTACATTTATTGCTGCTTTGTCTAAAAGTTTTAGAGCATCAACTAATTGTCCTAAAATGAACTAATATCATTAGAAAATACATATTTTCAGCAAGGGAACTTGAGAATTTTCTCCTGCAGCAATGACTTGTGAGTAATTCCCTTGCCTGAGGTCCGCACCGCTGCAGACTTGGGTGAAGTGCAGATTAAGAGTGCAATGGAGGCGTGGTTACCTTCCGCACTTGAGAATCGGGACACCCTACACACTCGCACACCTGGCCGGGAACGTGCAATTGAAGGGTGCAAGTACAAGTATTGGGATTAGGTCTAAGTCTCTGGGCGAAGCCATATTAGACACCATGTTTCCTTCTACGGAAGCCAATGAGGACAAAAAGCATTTACTGATTTGTAATAAACGGTTACAAAACTTTCTCCATTCTTAAATGTTGTTGTTTTACAAATTTACCTTTTCACTTGTTGCCAGTGATGAAATGAATTCTGATGTGCTTGTTATTTTTGCTGAAGTTCGCACTTCCCAGGGCTTTTTGACCCTAATGGGCATCCATTGGTAAGGCCTTACTTCAACACAAAAATACTGCTTGCTTGCAACAGTTTAGGTATCTACTGACCCCTATCGCCAGAAAAAATACACACTGTCACTTTAAGGCCAATGTCTGAATAAAACTCTGATCCTCTCCCAGGGGTGTGTGTGTGCTCTGTCATAGCTGTTGTATTAACTGACTTGTGGTGATAGACCACAACATTCTTTTCAAAAATAATATAAAATAAATATTAATAAGGTAAAACAATAATGCACTTTTGAAACTTTTGATTTGAACACTTATTGTTGCTTTAATGTCTTTAAAGGTGTTTTACTTCCAGGATTTACCATGATGCTAGCAAAAAAAGCAAACTTGTTCTTCAGTTTGTGCTTTTCAGTCTGTGAACTGAAAAAGCTAACTGCTAGCTTTTATATTAGCTACTGACACACTAAAAAAAGCTATTACCATGAAGCAGGTAGAGAGCTCTACTTCGTGCTCCTACCTGTGTGGTTTCTGGTAAGCAGAGGACTACAGAGTGCTGTCCAACGTACACGTGGCCTAGTTTCTGCTTCAACAGTCACTGAAAGCAATAGATTAAAGTGTTAAATAGTGATGAGTCGGTCCCGAACGAACCGGATCTAAGAGCTGGCTCTTTGAAGTGAACGACGGGAGCCGGCTCGTCATTGGGAGCCGTCCCCTCCCCCCTCCCCTCTTGCTTTGGTGAAAGCAACATGTGTAACTGCGTGTCCAGACTGTCCACACACAGAGCAGTAGGGGCGGGGAAGAGGGAGGATCAGACTCAGACACACAGCAGAGCACATGCGGGCGGAGGGAGACGAGAGGCAATGAGGAGGAGGAAAAAGGCGAGAGAGAGAGAGAGAGGAGAGTGCGACGAAGACGGTGAGAAAATGAGCGCCAGCAGTCGGAAAGTGGAGATTTCTTAAAGTGTTCAGTTATTAAATCCATTAAAATGATAAATATTTGATATATTGCATTTTTTTTACATTAGTAAATCGTTTTACATGTAGTTTTGCATTACTTTGGTTATAAATGTACTCTACGCAACAGAAAATCTGAGGAGCCACTTGGGAGCCGAAAGAGCCGGCTCTTTTTGGTGAGCTGAGCCAAAAGAACCGGCTCTCTAAAAAGAGCCAGAATTCCCATCATTAGTGTTAAAAACTCTTTAGTGTTGCTTTAATATGGCCAAAACTCTTTCCCAACCAAATATAAACTTTCCTGAATAATGTCAAATATAAATAATTACTCACATTATCTCCTACACACAGGCCGCATCACCAAGGTTTTCATCTCCCACTTGCATGGAGATCACTTGTTCGGTTTGCCAGGTCTCCTTTGCACTGTGAGTCTCAACACTAACGCGGACCCCCAGCAGAACCAAGCCTGCGTGGACATCTATGGGCCCGTGGGCCTCCGGAAGTTTCTCAGAGTGACACTTGGGCTCACAGGATCACAGCTGCTCTTCCCATATGCAGGTAAGTCATACACTTGACTAACATTGAGCTTTCTGTCTGCTTTTCTGACTTGTCTTGCTGTCCTGTTTGGCGCTGTAGTTCATGAGCTGGAGCCCACATTGGACCAGAGTCCTGAAGAGGGACAGCTCAGCATGGAGGTAGGTGGTTGTTTTAGATGTTTGTAACAGAAGATCCCACCAGACTGCATCAGTTCATCAGCAAATCATGTCATCAGCTTAATCACTGAGCAGACTTTGTGCTTTTCATTCATATATTCTTGATGTCTTTCAATTCAATTTTATTTATGTAGCACCAAATCACGACAAGAGTCGTCTCAAGGCACTTCACATAATAAACATTCCAATTCAGGTCAGTTCATTAAGCCAATCAGAAAAAATGTTTCCTATATAAGGAACCCAGCAAATTGCATCAAGTCACTGACTAGTGTCAGTGACTTTACAGCAATCCTCATACTAAGCAAGCACGCAGCGACAGTGGAGAGGAAAACTCCCTTTTAACAGGAAGAAACCTCCAGAGGATCCTGGCTCAGTATAAGCAGCCATCCTCCACGACTCACTGGGGATCGAGAAGACAGAAAACACACACACACACACACACACACACACACACACACCTTTTTTCCACCCACTACCTCCTTATATACATAAGTACAATATATATACCAAGTAGTGTTTCTATGGTTACATTGTGATTTCTTAGTAAATATTCTATTTGGTGAGAGATAAACTTTATTGTATTTATCCTAGTGAATCTATAATTAAACGGGTAAACTAGTAGTAGCACATCCAACGTCAAGGAAAGCAAAAAGTTATTATCAGGAGAGGGAGAATGTTTAAGTGGTTAGCAGCAGTGTGTTAGACGATAGCCCCCTCCATGAGGCCACCACAGCTCAGCAGAACGTCATTGTAGCTTCTTCTGGGGAGAAAAACAGAGAAAAAATAAAGTTAACAGCTGAAATTGCAGAAAATAATAGTTAAAGAGCAGATTGTAGAAGAAAGTAGTAGAGTGTGAAAAGTGGTCAGTGTATCCTCCAGCAGTCTAAGCCTATAGCAGCATAACTACAGAGATAACTCTGGATAACCTAGCCTTTTTAGATGGAGGCATGTTGGAGGCAGGGCAAGAGAGAGCCGTCTTTACCGACTGTACACTCCACCTCCCTCTACTCCCCCACTTGTCCAGATCTAGGCTAACATCAGATTTTAACCATAAGCCCTATCAAATAAAAATGTTTTAAGCCTAGTCTTGAGGTGTCTGCCTCACGGACTGAGGCTGGGATTTGGTTCAACAGGAGAGGAGCCTGATAACTAAAAGATCTGCCTCCCATCCTAATTTTAGATATTCTGGGAACCACCAGTAAACCAGCAGTCTGAGAGCGAAGTGCTCGGTTAGAAACGTATGGAACAATCAGATCACTGATGTATGATGGAGTTTGATTATTAAGAATTTTATATGTGAGAAGGAGGATCTTAAAATCTATTCTGAATTTAACAGGTAGCCAATGTAGGGAAGCTAAGACAGGAGAGATATGATTTCTCTTTTTAATTGTCATCAGAACTCTAGCTGCAGCATTTTGGACAAGCTGAAGACTTTTAACTACATTCTGTGGACTTCCTGAGAGTAATGAATTACAGTAATTCTAGTCTTGATGTAATAAATGCATGAACTAGTTTTTCAGCATCACTCCTGGAAAGGGTGCTTCTAATCTTATCAATATTCCAAAGGTGGAAAAAGGAAATCCTACAAACCTGTTTAACCTGGGATTGGAATGACATGTCCTGGTCAAAGATAACACCAAGGTTCCTTACTTTGTTCTCGGAGATTAATTTAATGCCATTCAGGTCAGGTGATTGACTAAGCAATTTCCTTTTCTGGATTTCTGGTCCAAAGATGAGAACTTCAGTCTTGTCTTGACTTAAAAGTAAAAAGTTTAGAGTCATCCAATTTTTTATGTCCTCAAGACAAGCCTGTAATCTACCCAACCGATTAGGTTTATCAGGGTTAATGGATAAATATAATTGAGTGTCATCAGCATAACTGTGAAAGTTTATCCCATGCTGTCTAATGATTTTACCAATTGTGAGCATATATATAGTAAAAAGAATTGGTCCAAGCACTGAACCCTGTGGTGCTCTACAAGTAACCCTGGAGTATGAAGATTTGTCATGTACATTTACAAAATGAAATCTATCAGACAGGTAGGATTTAAACCAGCCTAGCGCTGTTCCTTTTATCCCTACAACATGTTCAAGCCTTTCTACAAGAACATTGTGATCAACTGTGTCAAAGGCAGCACTGAGATCTAACAAGACTAGAACAGACACAAGATTCTTATCTGAGGCCATGAGACTATCATTTGTAACTCTCACTAATGCAGTTTCAGTGCTGTGATACTCTCTAAAACCAGACTGAAATTCCTCAAACAGATCATTAGTGTTTAAATACTGACATACTTGGATGGCCACTATTTTCTCCAGGACTTTGGATAAAAATGGAAGGTTAGATATTGGTATATAATTCATTGGGTCATCTGGATCCAGAGAAGGCTTCTTAAGTGAAGGTTTGATTACAGCAACCTTAAAATCTTGTGGTACATACCCATTTACTAAGGATAGATTGATTATATTTAGAATGGGGGCAGTAACCAAAGGAAATGCATCTTTAAATAATTTGGTTGGGATTGGATCTAAAATGCAAGTGGAAGGTTTAGATTAAGCTAATATTTCTGATAACTCTGAAAGCTCAACTGGATCAAAACGGTTCAAACACAGATGAGGTTCTACAGTTACCTCTGATGCTGCCTCACTTACTGAGGATGAAGAAATCACATTAGGGAGGATGCTAAAGATTTTGTTTCTAATAGAATTAATTTTACTTGTGAAAAATCCCATAAAGTCGTTACTGCTGAGGGCTAAGGGAATAGATGGTTCAGAGCTATAATTCTGTAGCCTAGCGAACTAGACCAAATTCTTGCTTTGCAAAGAATGGTCTAGGCATGCTCCATTGGAACCTCAGCAGCTCATAACAAGACTCTGGCTAGCCAATCACAGCTCTCTAGAGGGGTTTCAAACACATAAAGAGCTGTGATTGGTCCAGAATGGTGGGCCAATCTTAGTGCTCTATCTGCTTAGTGAACAAATCACAGAGCTTTATCTGCTTTGTGGGCCAATCAGGGCACTCTATATGCCTGGTGGGTGGGATGATGCAACAGAGTGAAACAAGAGTATGCCACATTCATTGTCCAGTGGAATGCGGAGATCATTTGAAAGACAACGGTAGAACCCGCCCCACAACCGAGAGCCGTCAATGGAGCATGGCCAGACTAAATAATACATTTATTTAGTCTGGCTTGCCAGGCTAATGATTCTGTGTAAGTTTGGCAATTGTACTGAAAAGAAATGTAGGATTATTCTTATTCTCCTCAATTAGCGCTGAGAAATAAACAGTTCTAGTTTGTCGAAGCTTATTTTTATAAAGCACAAGACTATTTTTCCAGGATAGGTAGGCCTCCTCATGGTGCGTAGAGCGCCATGCTCTCTCCAATTTTCTAGAGTTTTGTTTCAAAGCTCGTGAATGAGAATTAAACCAGGGAGCCAACTTCCTGTCCCTAATTACCTTCTTTTTTAAAGGGGCAACATCATCTAATGCCACACGTAAAGAGGAAGTAACATTATGAACTAAGGCATCAATTTGTGAGGGGCTAAAAATGAAAATATTGCCCTCTGCTATGTTCCTCTGAGATGCTGAGGACAGTAAAGATGGAACAGTTGATTTAAAAGATGCAACTGCGTTGTCAGATAGAGACCGACTATAGTGAAATTTACTTTCATGTCTCGAGAACTCAGTTATAAAAAACTCAAAGGTTATCAGAAAGTGGTCCGAGAGGACTGGATTATATGGAAAGATCGTTATTTCCTCACACTCTATGCCATAAGTCAGCACAAGGTCTAATGTATGATGGCAGGAGTGGGTGGAGCTATGTATTCTTTGAGGAAAACCAATTGAGTCTAAGATATTACTAAAGGCTTCACTGAGGCTATCATTTTCAATGTCCACATGAATGTTAAAATCCCCCACTACAATGACCTTATCAGTATTTAGCACCAAATCAGATAAAAAATCAGAGATCTGATCCAAAAACTCAGAGTAGGGGCCTGGTGGATGATCTAAAACTACAAACAAGAATGGTTTTACAGTTTAGCAATCTGGATTAGGAAACCTAAGAATAAGATATTCGAACGAACTGTAGCTATTAATTGGTAAGGGACTGATTAATAAGTCAGAATGAAAAATGGTTGCTTCTCCTCCTCCTCGCCCTGTACTTTGAGCAATATGGTGATTTAAATAATTAAAAGGAGTCGACTCGTTTAAGCTAACATAGTCCTCTTGCTGCAGCCAGGATTCTGTGAGAGAGCAAAGAAATCTGATTATCACAAATCAAGTCATTAACTAACAAAGTCTTAGAAAAAATTGATCTAATGTTCAACAACCCACATTTAATTTTTCTAGTTTTCTGCTCAGTTGAATTTGTTCTAATATTTATGAGATTTCCATGATTTGCTTTATTAAGCCTGATATTTAATCTGTGTGATTTTGGCCGTGGGCAGGACACTGTCTCTATGGGGCAGTGGGTGGGTAACAGTACAGAAGCTGCAGAGGGGTGTGTTAAACTACGACTCTGCTTCCTGGTCTGGACCCTGGGTAGTCATGAAGGACTAATAAAATTGGCCATGTTCCTAGAATGAAGAGCTGCTCCATCCAAAGAGGGATGGATGCAGTCTCTTCGCATCAGACCAGGTTTTCCCCAAAAAGTTTTCCAATTACCTATGTATCCCACGTTGTTTTCAGGACACCACCTAGACAGCCAGCGGTTGAAGGACAGCATGCGGCTAAACATGTCGTCACTGGTCCGATCAGGCAGGGGGCCAGAGAAAATTACGGAGTCCGACATTGTTTTGGCAAACTTACACACCGAAGCAACATTAATTTTAGTGACCTTCGATTGTTAGTTGTGTGTTCACATGCTTTGAATTTACCCACGTTCTAACACATCTGTTTCACCAGATGATAGCCGATGATGGGCCTCTCCATCCTCAGGAGCAGCCAGGCAGGACCATCTGTTTGGACGTTTCCACTGACTCCTATCTGCTTTTTGAAAATAAGAAGGTTGTTGCCAAAGCCTTCAGGTTGTTTCACCGCATCCCTTCCTTTGGATTTTGCATTCAGGAGCACGATCGACCTGGAAGACTGAAAACAGAGCTACTGAAAGAACTTGGTAAAAGCAAGTCAATTTGTTACCATCACCTTTAAGCATCATGTTAATAAAATTAACCTCATTTTTCACACCTCAGGCCTAAAACCTGGACCTCTTTATGGACGTCTCAAAGCTGGCGAGTCTATAATCCTTGAAAGTGGGCGTTTGGTTCATCCTAGTGAGGTGTTGGAAGAGACTATTCCAGGGAGGAAAGTCTGTGTTTTTGGGGACTGCAGCTCAGTGCTTGGAGATGGACCGCTGCGGTTGTGCAGCGGGGCGGATGTTCTGGTTCACGAGGCCACACTGGGGAACGAGCACAGAGAGAAAGCGGTGGATCACGGACACAGCACACCTGAGATGGCGGCAGCCGTGGCTCGGGCTTGCTGTGCACGAAAGCTGGTTCTGTACCACTTTAGTCAGCGGTACAAACCCAGCTCCTCACAGAAGGATGGAGATGACGACAATGTGTTGGAGCTGAAGAGGCAGGCTGAAGACGTTCTGCAGGATAGCAGCGTGGAGGTGATTCTGGCTGAAGATTTCATGAATTTACCCATCCTTCTCAGAAGATAATATTAGTGGATGGTCCGTTGGACTTGTTTTAAAACCTCATGTTATTCATCATCTTGAGATGTAATCAGGCATCAACTCCTTAAAATAGATTCTGGAAATAAACAAAAACTGAAGAAACTCAAAGTAAAAATAGGATTATGAGCTGAAACAGAGTTTGAACTAAAATGTGCTGGACACCGGCTCTCCAGGACCAGGATGGAGAACCACTGTTCCACATAAATAAAAACCCAAAGGAACCATCATGCACTCATCTCAGAACCTTTTCCAGAGTTTTATTTCTGGATCTGTACACAAGGTATTAAAGTACAACAGAAAATACAAAATAATGTTTAACAGAAGAAAAAGAAAACAGCAATGTTTATGTACAATTCATATAAACAATAAAGATAGCTTCTGAAACATTTCTCATAATGAAGTTTGATTGTCTATATTTCTGGATATACATTTAAGTTTTGTAGGTTTTTATTCACAAAGGTGTTTTGTTTTTCAAATGACTCGAGTTTTCTTTTTCAGAACCACGACTGCTATAAGTTTTTAAACTTCTAAACACAATACAAAATATAAAATAAAATTTGTTTAGTGCTTTCCTGCACACACAAGTCTCATACCAGAGATATCAATTAAATATCACATTTGAGTTCACAGGGTGGCGAGAACCTACTTGTACTACTTAATGGCCTTTACATTCTGACAGGGTTTCTTAATCTTTGTACAAACCACAGGTGAAATAAATATCACTGCACTGCTAAAGCTTAGAAGAGCTCAGAGGACCTACTGCATTATGCACATTGCATTAAAAGAGAAACTAGCTCTCCACACACTCAGAGCGGCAGCCTTCCCTTTACCACCAAGACAAATATAGACAACATGTAAAACGAGATTTCTTTTTTTCCCCGAGGAAAGAAAGACGGCCGTCTTTTACAACATGGCGGCAAGCCTCGAATGCAAAAAAAAATAAAATAAAAAGACATTGCAACAGTGAGTTAATAATACGTGTTCAGGTAAAGCGGTTTTCAGTGGCACACTTGAGACGGGCACAGCTGGCATGCGTGGTTTCAGCTCGTGTCACGTGTTTGGGTATCGCAACTAACCGAAAACTAAATGAAACTGAAACATTTGAGTGGAATGGGAAAACGCAAAATCCCCAAGTGTCTGTACATATCTACAAATCATTAACTTTCTGCCAAAGAATCAAATGAAAACCTTTGTATCGACACCAATTCACAAGTGTAAGAGGTCAGGTGATAGACTTTTTAAAGGCTATTTGCTAATTATTTACATGAAATGCAGAAGTTACGTTGCCTCTCTGATGCTGGCCGTGTAAACCCAGATGATGCACACAGGTAAAGGACTACGCCTATGGACACGGCAAACATGACGTACCCCCTGAAACCAATTAAATACTCAAAGCACAATGCATAGATAATTGAAGTAAACACTACTACCGCATCCAATAAACCCACACTGACCTGCTCGACACTTCTCCGTCACCAGAATTCAGTCTTTTCTGCTACTCAAGAAACTGGAGACCAGATTTCTAAAAGGCATCTTCCGTCAGTACAGGCCAAGCAGAGAATTATTCAAAAAAAAAAAACATAAGAGAGGCTTTAAATAAATATACTACTAGGAAGGTTAATAAATGCTTCCTAGTAGTCTTGGAAAAACTAAAAAAGGCTACTTGAGTCAGGAACAGATTTTCACAAGACAAATGAAGTTAATCTGCCTAAGAGCAGCACGAGAGAGAGAACTCAAAAAGATTAAATTGTCTCAAAATAAATAAATACTAAATTTAACCTGTCAGTGTTTCAATGGCTATTAACCCAACCTAAATCTTTGCATTGACTTATTGCGGTTAGTTTGCTCCTAGGAAGATTTTAAAACCGAGAGACCTCGAGTGACGTTGGTTTGTATTCTTCGGCACTTGTTTAACAGCATGATGGTAAAACCAACTAAAACCAGGATTTTTCTTAGAACCAACTAGTTTAGCTAAATTAAACTCAACTCTGAAAGAGCTTCTGTAGGGAAAAATAAATAAACAGCCTACGGGGCTGAAGCCATGACACTTCCTGACCTTTGAACTACTCTCCAAGCTAGTGTTGCTCATAAAACAGTACCCAGATATTTCTAAATATAACCATCAGCACCAATCTGGTAACTCAAAAAGTACCTGTAAACCAAACTTCATTGAAAGAGTATTAAATAAAAAAGTACCACGTCAAACAACAGGCAACTAACCGCTAACGCTAGAGGCAGAAACCAATTTGGCAGCTGAAAAGAATGGCAGGCTAACGAACGATAGCTCTGAAGGTAGGTGTGTGTGTGTGTGTGTGTGTGTGTGTGTGAGGGAGAAAAGATTCCCAACTCTCCTACTGCAGCTTCTGGGCCTGCTGTACATGGATGTTACACTTCTCGAGAACGCAAACAAAAATAAAATAAATGGCTATATAAACTCTTGAAAGAAATCAAGATTTTAGTTCTATATGATAGACATCACTGATGTCATAATACACAAAAATGAAAACAAAGTATATTCATATACATATATATATATCTATATAGATATACATACATATAATAGAATTTAAACAAATCCGATTTTCCAGTGAGATCAGTCTTATGTACAAGCAGGAAAAAGGTTTCAAAAGGGAAGAACGGAGGAAGAGGACAAGGAAGATCACTCGGACTGAAGTGCTGCAGTGTGCTGCGTGTGGTGCCGCGTGTGAGCGCTGAGAAACCCATTGGGCTCGCCGCTGCCAGCTAAGCTCCCAAAGTCTGTGACGGACACGGCCATCTTGGTGCCGGTGATTCTGTGATGCGTCGCTGTTCGCCGTGTTTCGAAGTCCACTCCGAGGTTGGCGACAGAAACATCGTTGATAAAGGAGTCGTGCAGTGTCATCTTAAGTCTCTTGGACGGCCGCTCGCAATCCTTACCGACACACTCTCCCCCAAACTGCCCCAGGTCCGAGTGGTAGAACCCGGCATCGAGCATGTTGAGGCAATCAGAGTTGGTGCCATTTGAAGTGAAGCCAAGGGATTCGTCGTGGTTCAGGGATCCACGGTGGAGACTTTCCAAGGGCGGAAAACTGTAGGAGTCCAAGCAGCTCACCTCAGCAGGTGTGCATACTGTGGCTACAGTGTTGCTCAGAGCTGAAACGAGATAAAACTCTGTTAGAGGGGAAAATGTCAAAAACTTCCAGAAGTGTCATTTGTGAGCAGAGCCGAGTCTCAGGCTGACCTGTGAGGTCGCTGGCAGTGATGGAGTTCAGCAGGCTGAGCTGCTGTTCTGTTGTGGTCTCCATCCTCCCTCCTCCACCTGCTCCTGAACATACAGAGGAGGAGCTGTCCACTGCCAGTCCCTCGGCTTCATCCACCAGCCTGTCCATCAGGTCACTGCAAACAAACATGTACGCGGGTTTGTTTTCATTTAAAACAGAGCAGATCATAATAAAACTAATACACAAGTGTGTGTGTATAATGACACGTACGTTACACCAGGATAGCTGCTGTACTTTTTCTTCCCGAACCGGGTCTGCTGCACAAACACGTCGAAGCGCTCCGACTTCTTCCACATGTAATAAAACGCTACGCATTCTGCTACTGTTCGTGTCGTGACCTGGGAGCACAAATCCGTTGTCGATTAAATGTAAACAATCCACTTCTGTGCAAATTTAAGTGAAAATGCTTTTGCACAGAATCACAATGAAGACTCACTTTGTGTTTCTGGATGAGGTGGAAATTCTTGTCGTACATCTGCAGAGCGTGCTCAAAGCTCTTGCATTCCTCCTCTGACCACGGAGGGGATTTTTCTACAATAAAACACGTGCAATTCAATTTTTATACAACAATGAATGAGTGAGTCATCTGCAAGACAAAGGTAGGCCAACTCAACTGAAAAAAGGTCAATCTATAAATTTCTATTGGCTGTATGCAACTTCAGAATGACAATAACCTTATGATGAACGATAAAATGATAAATACAATGAGATAAACAACTGAAGGCAAATTTGGGTTCAGGTAACCAAATGTAAACACCTACAATTCAATCTGAACGATTTTGCGCACAAGTCAAAATCATTTAGGCTCTTAACCAGATGCGGAGAAGCAAAAACAATCTGAAACACTAGGGACGAGCTGGATACTCGTTTCAGACGAGTATTTTTGACGAGTACGAGCATGAAACGAGTAAAACTCGTAAATATCTGTAATCGTGCTGAAGGAAAATCCTCATTGGGTAACTGACTGTCTTCACGCTCTGTGATTGGCCAATCAAACAGAGCGCCCGCCCCTCCCTACACACAAAATTCTGCAGCCAGGAGCTCACAGCTCAGTCCGCGTCCGGTCCATCCACGCGCGCGCGCGCGCGCGCACACACACACACACACACACACACACACACACACACACACACACACACACACACACACACACACACACACACAGTAACGGATCTCTCTGTGCTTGCTTCACTGTTCACGTTTCTTCAGAACTCCCTGTGTTTTCTTCAGTTTGCTTCTTTTTAAAGTTATTTAAAGTTACTTTTTTCGTAACGTACGTGGTGCCTTTGACAAGACAGAGCTGAAAACGGCTCGTGCTGCGTCAGTCACTGCCTCCGCTACGGTCGGGATATTTTTTTCTCCTCTCTCTCCTCTTCCTCAGGATCCACTCCCTCTTTCCTATTCACTCTCTCTTTCTTTACATTTTTAAATCACAATTGTCAATTTTTTGCTCATTTTAAATATATTTTAATCATTTTCTAAATTCTTTTTTCTATTTTACATGTTTTGTTTTTGTGAAGCGCCCCGTGATTTTTATCTTGAGAGGCGCTATAGAAAAGATCTTTTCTACTCTCTCTCTCTTAATTCATGCACTTAAATATTAATGTTCTGATGTTATTGAAAAACTTGTTCTGTAATAGTTCCTTTACTATTGTGATCAAAAACATTTAATCTCAACTCTGAGGCACCCACTTCCGGTTAAACTCCACCCACATCTGGGTTAGGCCACGCCCACTCAAGAGTACAGACAGATAATTTAGATGGTTGAACAGATACAGATAGTGGTGTACTCGCTCATCCCTATGAAACACCATCAACAAAACAGTTTTAATTGGACCAAATACATATCATAAATAAAATCTAACGAAGGAGTCCCTATCGGGGTGTTAATGCTGCCTGCTTACCTTTAGAGGACTTTACGTTGCTGCAGTATCGTTCTAGTGCTTCACGGGTGTTGTAGTTACATCTAACAAGTTCGTTCAAAGCCTAAAAGTAAAAAATAGACCGTTTACATGTTGGACATATTCTAAGACATCTGATGAAAGAAAATTAAGTGAAACAAATTTAAGTTATATCACCAAAATAAACATCCCATTTAAAACTAAATCACAGCAACAAAGGTTAGTAAAATCTAAATTACCTGCTCGTCGTCTCGAATATGCACCCCCGGTTTGTCGTATCCTTTCCTTCTTTCTGATGTCCGTGACGAGACTTCAGAGAGGAAACTCCTAACCTTGTTTTCTGATAAGACATCTGGGCTCCATAGTAACTCATCTTCATCTTCATAAACTGTTGGACACAATCCATCAATCAAGAGGAGATAAAACTTAAAGTAACAAAGAAAAGCATGAATAAAGAAGAGGATATATATGCTGAGTAGAAACTCAAGTGAAGCAGTCACCTTTCTCTCCATCTTTGTAGTGACAGATGCAAAAAGGAACATCTGCTTGGTACTCTGCTCCAACCATGATTTCCTATTTAGATTAGAGAAAAATACATGTTTACAACAAGAACTGAACAACGTTTGGATTAAATCTCAGTCCTTCCTAAAGTCATTCTGTCCTGCTCTGAACTTGAGACAGTTACCCCCAAATTCCACTACCTCCGCTCCGCTCCGACACGAACGCCGGAGCAAAATCGGTCCCGTTGTAGTCAATCAGAGCAATTCCACTGCTGCGGCCGTGCTCCGGCAGTGCGGCGCCGTGCGCCGGACGCCGGAGCACCTCCACAGTAAATGGCCAGAAATCACAACGGCCCAACAGGAAAAGGAGCAAGCACAATTTCCGTTTTTCACAATAAATCGATCAACAAAAGGCGTTTTTTGTTTCATATGCACAGATTTAACAACTTTTAACAACTATCAATGGCGGCTGAAGTTTAAATGCACAAAAGTAAGCCATAAATACAGTTTCTACTATCAAAGTAGTCACACTTTGTTGATCCAAACACTGCTGATCTCTCAACACAAATGATGGGCAGATTAAACAGTTCATTTCGATGCTTCTCCCACACAACGGGTGTTTGGATCTAACTTCCGCGTTTATTGCCCGGACTGTATCGCAAGATCTCGAAAATCCCGCGCATGCTTGTTTGCCCACCTCAGGTCTCCGCACCGGAGCGGAGCCGTTGTAGAGCGGGTACCAGTAAAAATTGAGTTCGGAAGCGAGCGGCTACGGAAGGCGGGGGCAGACCGGAAAGGAGGTAGTGGAATTTGGGGGTTATTCACGCCTTCATCTCCTCACCCTTAGACTACTGCAACTCACTTTTCACTTGTCGGAGCAAAACCTCCCTGAACCACTTAAACATCACTACTCTCTCCTTATTCTGCTCTTTCTACCAATTCCACCTTTTATGGGATCCACTAATTTTTCTTTCCCTTTCCCTACATTTCTTAGTCACATTCTGTTATTTTTATTAATCTTTCAATTTTTTTTTATTTTTGTTCTTGTGAAGCGCCTTGTGATTTTTATCTTGAGGCGCTTTATTAAAAAATCGTTTTTCTGATTTATATAGGTGGGACTTGAATCAAAAAATGTATCAAATTAATCAGAGATTTTGTAATTAATTAATCTTGATTAATCATATTTTAATTGTTCAAAACAATTTACCCCCAAGCAATTTTAAAATTTAAAAATAATGTTAGTGAGCTATAGGGATGGGATGAATTTGACCATCAACAATGGGCAGAGCAGTTACGATTGTTCTTGCAAGAAGCAATTTGTTTATTTGTTTGTTTGCCCGTGAGTATGTTCGTTACTGAGCATGCAAGTGTGCAGATATTTTACACGTTACGCACAGAGAACATCTCTAAGGTAACAATCGTGAAAACATTTCCATCAGTGCATCTGAGCATTATCTCACACCTTCTCTTCATCTCGCTGCTGAAGCGGTACGCTGAAGACGAGCTCGGAGAACGTCTGTGACACATTCGACATTGTTTACAAGCGCGCAATGTCAAGTGCGTCGGAAATGGAAACCCTTCTATCTTTCACAGTTTAGTAGACTTCTGGTGATTTCATTAGTAGAAATGTTTCCTTATTTTTAAACTTGGGCTGAAGTAGCGCTCATTTTTCAGCAACCGCTTCACATCCAGTATTATACAAATCGCTCATACCCTAGTGAGGCAGATGACATACCCACACTTTAATGAGAATATTTCACAAACCACGAGGAATTACATTTGATTACTTTGGTCTCATTATAATGGTAACCATTATGGGATTTGTTGGGATGTGTAAATATTAGTGTATGTGTTATTGATGAAGCTGTAATAAAGTTCATATGGATAAAGTTACTGCCAGTTTTCTACAAACTACAAAACAAAATGGTAAAAAGGTTGATCCCCCCCCCATTCTTTACTTCATTAAGAGCAATTTGGCCTATATTTGGATACATTATTCATCATGATTCATTTAATTGTAGTTTTAGTTGTGTTTGGAGCACATAAAAAAAAGGTTTGTATGGTCTTGTAGCTCAAGGTCTGCAGTTTTTCTAGAGGTGCAGTTTGATGATATTCATTGATAAACTCTGACTCTAAATTTTCGTCCCCTTATTGGGGGACACGCGGACTTGGGCGAAAATTTTTTTGAAGTTTTTTTTTTTTTCTTCTAACTAATGAGTTAAATTCCTACCCCTCGTAATTTATATGAACAAGTTTAAATTACTTTTCTGGAGTCCTCTGGGCTGGGGCCAAGTTCATCACACTCTGACTCTTTATCACCATCAGAGACAGCATTGGCTGAAAAAGATGAGAAAAAGAGAATACACCTTATTACCATCACATAGCACCTCCATAGTAAAGGAAATAAAGATCAATGTTTAAACATGTTAGTTTTAAAAATAACAGGTTGAATTACTTAATCTAAACAATTGTTTTTAGTGGTGCTGTACATCACTCTTAGATCTAAAACATAAGTCAGTATGAGATAATATTTAGTATTTCCCATACAACTTTTCATATCTGTTCAAATATTAAAAAACTTTAACATTTACATTCTTTGTTTATAAAAATGAAACGCACACTAAGCTGCTTATCTGAAACACCTGAATCTTTGACTGTATTTAAAAAAATGCAGTCATTTCAAATCAGATGTCTAAATATTATTGCAAAGATGAGCAAAATCTGTCACTTTTTTATGATTATATTCATTTAAAATAACTTATGAACGGCTACAGACACATTTAGGCAGTCCTGTCCCCTAAAAACACTGAAACCCTGTTCTTTTTTATTGAAATAAGCTTCTTGTCTCTTTAGGACCTGATGCTATATTTATTTAAATCACCGTCTATAGCTGTTGGTGCAAAAGAAATTATAATGAACACAGTGGCGTTTTTCTAGCATTTTTCCACTTTTTATCCAAAGACATAAAATTTTACGACAAACTCAGCGCAGATGTTTTGTTTTTTGAACGAATAAAAAGCCAACGTGTACTCTTGGATTCTCAACTCACATCGAAGTGTTCTTGGAAAAAAGTCTGTGGCCTCATGGGAGGTAACTGATGGGGTCAGATCATCAGCAGAGGACTGAGTCTCCTCCTCATAATCCCCAGACAACAGGTCTTTAGCAATTTCCTCCTGGAAAAGGATACAATTGTATAAATGTTGTGGCAGATCAATGGTTGTCAACGTGTTTTATATAAAACAACATCTATTTAGCAACACTTACCTTATCTAATGTCATATCTGGCAACTCATCAGTCAGGTCTCCTGAGGAGCTGTCTATGCTGGATCCTGCTGAGGCCTCGTAGCGATAGATAGCCAAAAGTTCCTCCAATGGCATGTTCCCTTCCTAAAAATCATAAAAATAAAAAAAATCAAGTTTTTGTGTAATTCAAATCCCTGGAATGTGTCTGGGACAGGATATCCTAAATATAGATTTTTTTTGTTTTTGTTCATACAAGAGTTAAGACATGCTGAAAAATGTCTTTACAAATGAAAATCTATTGCTTTGATCCCTTTGTAATCAACATAATGTAAATCCAATTGAAAGTATAATGTATAATTTTACCTTCTCCAGATCGGCAAGTTCAGATCTGAAGTTCGTTCCACCATCCAAAGACTCTTCGTCTTCCAGAGTCCTCTCATCATCGTATTCATGAACTAACATTTCTGCAGTTGGATCGAAATCATGATCCTCTGATGATAAAGAGCCAACTGAATGACGAATAAAATATACATCAGTGTTGGTTTTTGTTTATTTGAAAAAAGTGAACACTAGTATTATTTTCTTTCAATATCTACGCTTTAATACAAATGCAAACCAAACATTCTTCATTAATCAAAATACTGATTTTAAAGAGTAGATAAGGACACTGCCAAACATTCTTACCTGGACTTGAACTTCCTAGAGAAGCCTGGAAAATGAATAGAGATATAAAATGTTACAGTAACAAATGAACAAAAGTTAGGAAAGTATTCATTTATCTAGATAAATAAAACAAACACAGCTCAGAGGTATAGAGATGACAAAAGATGCCAAGAGCTTTAACAACTATACTAAAGACACAAGTGAATGTGAACATGTGTAGCACCTAATAATACAGAATCAAACATAGCGTGACATTGCCTAATCAAATGTTAATGGTGTTTTTATACAGGTAACAATATCGTTCAATCGAATATAACACTTCAAATAAAACGTTAAATACATATTATCTATAACGGCAAAAACAACAAGTTATTTGAAAGCAGCGATCAAAGAAACAAAGCTAAAATATTTTCACAAGGTTTTAAAAAATCGTCTACGGATCAGAATCCGGTGTTACCGCTAACCCCTGCTATTTGATGCGCCACGAACCGAGCGAGACCGATGGAATTTGAAGGCTCAAATTGATTTTTTATTTTATTTATTTTTTTAGTTTTCCTCACCCGGCTACATCCAAATATAAAACCAGAATTGAATATGAAAAGGAATAGCAGGATATTTTTCTGCCCCGGCTCCTGGGCCAGCTTGTTAGCCAACTAGCTAACCCAAAAGCCGAACATTTTACCGCTGTGCTTCGGCAAAATGTAAACACCAATTTCGCCCACAACTCGCTGTAACCAATGGAACAAGGATGTTCTTTTGGATTAACACGCCGTATAGTCTGCCCAATTAAGGCAAATAAAATTCAACTCAATATGAATAAGAAATAATCAGTTATTTCCTTAAAGCAGCGAGCTAACGTTAAATTTACGTATCAGTTTACACAGTGAAGCAGCTGAGAGCGCAGAGAGGCCTCGTAGTGAAGGATCAGCCAAGACATTTAGGCACATTATAGCCAAATAGAAACGACATTTGTGGAAGCAAACACGCTACGCACAAGGCAAAAACATTCATTTCTCCAATCGCTAACATAACATAGAAAAATAAAACACACAGACGCAATAAATATCGATTAAAAATCGATAGCTTCTCCCCTGTTTTCCCTCTTACCTCCGCCATATTGGTACCTTTAGCTAATGAGCCCGTTCTCGCGCAGTACCCGGATGAGAGCTCTGAGCCAATCAGGAGTCCAGGTGACGGCTGTAGTCGTGACACCACTCAAACCAACCACTGATCAGACTAGCGGCAATAAATCATAAATATTAAATATACCAACAAAAAATAAATTAACAAATACTTCTTCAGACACGACACAAATCAATGAAACTGATTCTGGTAGCACCTTGGACAGGAAATCCTAAAGAGATTTATTTTTGTTTGTTCTTGAATATTCTTAGAATGTTTTTTGAACACATCAACTGATATCCTACGGATAAAAACTTGTAAATTGTGTCCCATTTTCATTTATCTTTGGCAAGTTTATGTTTTGGCAATTTCTCATCTAAAAAGCCAAATTTACTAAATATAAGAAGGCACAACCAGAAAACGATTAGTAAATTTAGGTGATTTTCTTATAATTTCACAACTACAAGCAATAATTTGACATATTTACATGTAGGCCTAAATGTCTATTAATTTGCGTTGTTTCAATAAATACAATAGAGTAAAACTAATCAAATGTTATGAAACAGTCTTCCATGACACACGCAGCATTAATAGTAATTGTTTTATGCTGATTACTATTTTTGCAGAAATGTGATTGCACACCAAGATGTTGACATTTGTGTGAACAAATAGAAAAAAAATAAGTATGCTGTGATGATAACAGCTTTTAAGTAAAATTTGTTATGTTTGAGCAATTCTCAAAGAAATTCATTAAAATAAATTGTATATGTCTTAAATTATACTTGCTGCTGGTCAATGTCAAGCTAAAACATCAGTTTGGAACACTGATTTGATTTTAGTTAGAACATTAAAATCAACTTCTTCAATAACTAACACAAAAAATGCTAAATTGAACAAAGTTTATTAAATGACAAAGGAAAGACAGAATAAACAGCACATTTTCAATCACATATCTAAAAAAGAAAACAAATAATTCAGTCTCCCTTTCTCTTTTTATTTGACTTTATTATTTGCACACACTTGATGGATTTCAAGCTTGTGTTTCAGTAAATTTTACACCTAAATTAAAAAGAAAACACCCAGTGGAAGTCAGAAACACTTACCTTGTGAAAATTATTTCTATATAGCTCTTTATGAATTCATCAGTTTCAATATTCCTTGTGCTTGTCCACGCTTTAACACCTTGTAGTGCTGACCCTCCTAATCTAATAGTAAATTCCACCTTTCCTGTCACCGAAAACCTTTTGGCTGTAACATTATTTGCAGGGTAATTATTACAAGGGTATTTTTGCGAGAAAAAACACAGATATGTCATTTAAGGATAAAGATTTCTTTCCTTGTTTTCTAACGTACCGGCCAGTAGGGGGCGAAAGAACTCCGCAAATCAGGCTAAAATCATTTCACATGAAAATGCAAACGATTAATTAGGGTCAAGTAGCACAATAGTTGGTGCAAATTCAGGTTCAGGAAGCAGAAAACAGTTATCTAAAGACTTAACTCTATTTTATAGACAATCAGCTGATTGTCAGATAATATATTGTCACAACTGTGCACTTAAAACAAGATGATTTATTCACAAACTTTTTTTTTGCACATTTACATTGCAATACTCATATTAGAAAATAATCTTCAGTACTTAATTACACTTTAATAACTTGTAGACAAGTGTTGCAAACATCTTCTGTCCTTAAAGTTGGAGGTGAAGGAGTATTAGTAGTAGTACTTTTACACATGCTCATCAAAAACCTGCAATGTTCAGTCATTCACGTGTCTTCTGCCCTCTTGTACAGGCATCCCTGTACAATCATTGTGACAGTGACAGAGAAGGAAGACAGTGACTTGTAGAACCGGGAGGCAGCAGGACGGGTGTCTTGTTGGATATGGATCAGATGAGAGGAAGTGAGCTGGAAGCCAGGAAGGGACAATAGAGACGACGGAGTTAAGTGCACGTCTTGTAGCCAGAGGGTTGCAGGATCGAGTTTGGCTCAGTTTATCGTAGTTGTTGTGTCCTTGGGCAAGACACTTAACCCACATTGCCTGTTGGTGGTCAGAGGGACCAGGGGTGCCTCCAGAAATTTTTGAATGGGGTGGCCAGACGAGGCCAAAGAAATTTTTGGGGTGGCACACCAAATTGGTCCTTGTGGTAACTCTGGGAGACTTTAGCCTGTGGCAATGTAATGCATTGCTCCTTTATTCATTTTTATTATAAATAAATAAATAAACGTATCCAAAACATTTTACTTCAATCTTACAAACACAAAAAATTCTGAAATATAAATTTCAGTTATTTAAATGTTATTTCAAATTTTATTTTAAAATGTATTTTTTCAGTTAAGTCACCTGTTCCTGTTTTCTCAAAAAACTATAGAGATTTAAACTTTTTTTTAAATGATGAGCAGCAGAAGCATACGTATTTCGTTAAATTTTCATTATTTCTTTACTCATTAATTGTATTATTTTAATTTTGTTTTACAATTATGTCTTGAATAAATAAGATCAATTTATGGTTTGAGTGAACATTAATATGATTTACTAACACTGGCTTTTGCTGGGGGGAGGACAGCAATTTTCCACGGGGGGCCATGGCCACCTGTGGACACCATGATGTCTCTGTTAGGGACTACCAATCAAAGCAGATCACCATGACATGTGGGGTCCCCCAAGGCACAATTCTAGGACCACTACTCTTTAATCTCTATATACTCCATCATACTTAATAACGACATCTCCTATCATAGCTATGCTGATGACACCCAGATCTACCTAGCCTTATCACCTAGTGACTGTCGTCCACTGGACTCAGTCTGTCAGTGCCTAGTGCAGGTGAACGACTGGATGCAGTCATCCCTCCTTCAAATAAACAAAGAAAAGACTGAAGTTATTGTCTTTGGCAACAAGAGGGATAGAATGAATGTTATTGCTCAGCTAGAATCCAGAGGAATAAAGACAAAGACCCAGAAATCTTGCTGTTATCATTGACTCCGACATGAACATGAACGAGATCGGAGCACACCACTCCTGTTCTTAGTTCTCTACACTGGTTGTCAATAAACTACAGAATATATTTCTAAGTGCTCCTACTAGTTTATAAATCACTCAGTGGCATGGGACCAAAATACATGTCTGATCTCATTCCTGTAAATACACACCCAATAGGGCTCATTGGAAACAATCAGCTGGTAGAACCACGGGTCAGAAAAAAACATGGTGGAGATGCATTTAGTTAATATGCTGCTCACATATGGAATCAGCTTTCCCATGACCTCAGATCTGCCCCAACCCTAGTGTTGTTTAAAACAAAACTAAAAACCCTTATGTACTCATCAGCCTTTAAATGAATTGTTTCTTATCTCCACTGTAATCTGCGCTGCAACTTTGTCTTCTCCTTTAGCTCTAAACTGTAATTCCATTTGTGTGTATTGCAATTTGTGTTTTTAAGTGTTTTTATGTCATGTCCTGATAATTGTAAAGCACACTGAATTGCCTCTGTGGCAGAAATGTGCTCTATAAATAAAGCTGCCTTGCCTTGCCTTGCCATTGAAAGGGACCGGTGGCACCAGTGCTCGGCAGCCTTGCTTCCATCAGTGCATCCCAGGGCGGCCGTGGTTATGCTGTAGCACATTGCCACAAATAGCTGGATGCTTGGTAATGTGCCTTAGGGGGCTGTGGAACTCTAGAATGCCCTACACAAACACAAGCCCTTTACCATTAACTAAGATGGGAAGTGATTTGGCAACCACTGCCGAACCACCATCAGGGTCGAAACACCCAATGACCGATGGCAACTACCTGAAGACATTGACCCCTCATTGGCCAAGGCTACATTCACTTAAGATGAACATGAAACAAGAATCACCTGAGGATTTGTATGTTAAGTTCTAAAAACTTAAGGCTTTGTGGGCCAATTCTGGCTCTAAATTGGTGGCAACTTATTCCTGATGTAAAATCAAAGTAAATTAAATGAAGTCCAACTTATTTATAATTTGTCATTCAGGTGGAGAAATTCCTTGGAGTTGTTCTAAAAGTTTGAAATGAAAAACCGCTAAAACGAAACGAATCTTCCTGGTCAAATTGAGAAGGCACTAGTGATGGGAATTCTGGCTCTTTTTGGAGAACCGGTTCTTTTGGCTCAGCTCACCAAAAAGAGCCGGCTCTTTCGGCTCCCAAGTGGCTCCTCTGATTTTCTGTTGCGTAGAGTACATTTAAAACCAAAATAATGCAAACCTATATGTAAAATGATTTACTAATGTAAATAAATGCAATATATCAAATATTTATCATTTATATGGATTTAATAACTGAACACTTTAAGAAATCTCCACTTTCCGACTGCTGGCGCTCATTTTCTCATCGTCTTTGTCGCACTCTCCTCTCTCTCGCTCGCCTTTTTACTCCTCCTCATTCCCTCTCGTCTCCCTCCAACCGCATGTGCTCTGCTGTGTGTCTGAATCTTATCCTCCCTCTTCCCCGCCCCTACTGCTCTGTGTGTGGACAGTCTGGACACGCAGTTACACATGTTGACCAATCGCCTGTAGCTTTCATCAAAGAAAGAGGGGAGGGGGGAGGGGACGGCTCCCAATGACGAGCCGGCTCCCGTCGTTCACTTCAAAGAGCCGGCTCTTAGAGCCGGTTCGTTCGTGACCAACACATCACTAAAAGGCACCGCTCTAGACGCCACAGGTTGTAGACACCTAGCCTGCGTCATTAGAAAATGTAATTAGCTGTCTACTAGGTGGTTGATTATTCTAATGCATTTTGTTGGTTTCATTAATCATTTCTAACATGTTTAAGCTGTTGCTGAAAGCGAATGCCTTTATGTCAGAAAAATAGAAACCCTGGTGCAGGATAAGCACTGTGGGCTGTGTTAGATGACTCTCCAAACATATGAGTCACTAGTTTAGACAGTTCAGAAGCACATTTCTCTACAGGAAACTGAGCAAACATGGACAAAATCATGGATTTTCCATTATATTAGTTCATAATTCAGCTTCTTGACTGTAATCAGCCTTTAGTGTCACGCTGAGCAGGAGGTTTGGACAGAAAAACGCAGAACACACGAGACA